CTTAGCCTTTACTAGTAGTTTTATAACTAACTAAATTTAGTCATAAGATACACTGTACATCTAGCCTGTAGTCCAGTCTTATAAACTTCAGTTATATTTTCAGACAATGGAAGCAGATTAAAGCTAACTAAACTAACTAAAGCTAAGGAATTCATGCTAAGGGGCATCGCTGTGGTATAAAGGCTTTGACAAATGATGTCTGATCACTGATCACCAGATATGTTGTCATGTTGCTGTGAATTAGAGATGCTTCATGTTGCTCTTGTAGACAAAGATTAATGGGTACACAACAATTGAGATACAAGAAACTTTCTGAACATCATTTCACAATCTACTCATGAAATGGGTCCCTCAAGCTGCTTTGATCTCCCATAAAGCTAAGTACACTTGTCTGACAAAGACATAGAAATATCTAAGGCTATCATTTCATTGCTGAGAGCCTGAGATAAATATGCTTACCACATCCCTCTCCTGTACACATAGACATCTAGCTAGAGGCAAAGTCCAAAAATAGGGAGAGACTTTGAATGTAGATACAACAGCTCTGCTCCTGGTATCCGTTACATACATCACTCAACATATAATACAAAAAGGCTATTTTGCCTAATACTTTCCTTACACATCTATGAGTATGAGCAATGTATATGCTCCTGTCTAAACTGCCTACATGATGAGTACTTTCATGTGTAAGTTTTCTATATCTTTCTTCAGACTCTGCTTCATGTAGACTTTATATTTTAGCATTATTCTTTAATTTATATCTGAGGATCAAACAATAGCTGTGGCAAACTAGAGGTTTCTTGTGTTGGGTGTAAATCTGTGGTGACCAGAGTTGAAAAGAATGGCCTTGATGAGGCTAAATACTGGTAATATATTAAGTAACAGATGGTGCTGACATCCAATGCCAATGGCTGAACGTTTGACGTAAGGAGGCGTACACCAGATGTTATGGCAAACTTTTACCTCAGCCTGTCAAAGCAAACTTCTGTCAGATCACTCTTTGATGAAAACTTAAAGAGCAATATGAGAGGAAACATTGCTTTGGTAACAAATGGTCTTGATGTGCTTGGGACAAAGAGGGGCAAAGTGGCCTTTCCCAGCTGATGTTATGAGCTGTATCTACAACTGATATTTTCTTTTAGATTACTCTTTGAGGACAGTCTATTTCACTTTGAATTCTCATATCAAGTACAGTCGCCCAAGGCATTTATTATCAGTAGTGAGTCAAGTCTGTGCAATATCTTTTAGTTATCTTTGCCATGTACCAAGTTTTCTGGAAATCATAACATTCTTTTTTCTTGGTACAAAGTTTGGGAAAACCACATATTATGAAAGCTGGACAATGCCTTGGAATAGTTTTAAATCCATCTGTCCCCAAGTCACCTGATCAAGCTGTAGTAACATGTTTTTAGGAAAGCTACAATCTACGTATCACTGACATTTTCCCATCCAATTTCTTGTGGGTAATGAGACTCAGAGTCTTATAATTACATAAATAATGTCTTTCTTTATTACATAGGTTGTAATGAGAAAATCAGTCTCCAGTTCCTCCTTTTCGTAATGATGCGCTTCCTTATTCTAGATGGCTTAAAATGAGGTGACAAAAATACACGGTGACAGCATCCCCCCTGCAGGGACTCCATTACGCCACTTTCAATGGTTGATTTAAGGTCTCCTAAGCAACCACAAAGGGTGACTGAAACCTCTCAGGAATTACTGGAAGCAAGTTTGGGTTGCCAAAGATCAATACATTGTATCTTACTCCCGATACAACATTTGACTCTCCCCATCTAAGACTTCTTCATGTGCCTCTTAAATGAGTTTGAAACCATTCTACATATGACAAATCTTTCTAGGCCTACATTTTGTAAATGAGGTGTGCACTAATAAGCAGTGCTGTGCACAGGTGTACCAGTGTGTTATCCCACATTTTCCAAGCTTGACAAATCAGAAATCACCGTCATGACTGTTTCTGTACCTACTTCCTGCAAGGAGTGGTAGTTATATCAGGGAACATTACTGCAACAACTGCTGTGGTAACAGATATTGGTATATTTATGAGTTGAGTGAATCAGGTATGGAGCCATTTATGCTGTTCTACAGCTTCGTTCCCAAACTTTTCCCATGAATATAACTGATGTGACCTTTTCCTACACATCATCAATCAACTGCTTTAATGTTGCTAGTAGCTGTCCTTACGCCAATATCCTGGCAAAGAAATTAACCACGTGTCTAATCCTGGCTACAGGCTATTGATGAGGACTATTACTCTAATAGGGGGAAAGGTGAACTTCACAACACTGAGCAAAAGTTGAGAGAAAATTGCTTTGACTACAAGGTTCTTGACAAATTACCTGGAACGCCCACCAAGAAGCTCTTCATCTGTATGGTGCCATCAATGTCTGCACGCAGGACACTTCCCTGTGGGACAGCAGGAGAAAGGTCTACTTAAACAGATTCTTGGGATGTGCTGAGAAATGTTGACTGTAATGTGCAACAAACTCTCTAATGCTTCCCATGGGTCTTTTAAAGATGTGTTGTGAACAGGTCCAAATATTACATGTTCATTTCCCTTCAGGTTGATCTAAAATTTGGCTACACTATGGTATGCATCTGCCAACAATTTTGCAACTTAAGTCCATTCTGTCAACAGTTTTACAACTAAAGTCCACTCAATATGCTGATGCATGTAAAATGACTCTTACTTACACTGGTACTGATCAGCACAGTCAGTCTCTCTAACACATCCACAAAGATCTCATTCTTCCTTCCCTGCATGGTAGGAATGAAATACAAATGTCATGTTATTGAACCTAAAACACATTTTTAAGAAAGGGCCCAAACTATGTCAAACAGATGGACACTAAAACCACACCTGATTAATGGCTGTTCCCATGATAGACTTGTTGGCTGCAGTGGAAGGAACCATTCTTCTCTCAGCACCAAACTAGTTGGACAAGAAATAGTAAAAGCTATTAGTCTGAGTCTCCATGGTCACAATTGGTAACAAAAGATTCCAAATGTTCTCTATGTTGTACACTGTGGGCAAATCTAAAAACCCACATTTTTAACCTCCTTGTTCTGGGCAACCAGCATCTTTAGGATACAGATTTGGAAAGACCCTGTTTCATCAATATATTCTGTAGAGGCTATTCATGATGTAACATATATGTACAGACTTCTCCCTTACATCAATTAGAAATATAAATTAATCAGTACTATCTAAAGCATGCATTGCTCTCAGTGAGTTGCACAAAAATGGGACATTGGCAAACACTCTAGTAGGTTGGTGGTAATGCTCATTTGCCACATGAATGAAGTTTATCCTGCAGAGAAGCTGTGATGAGGAGACCGAGGAACTGTTGATGTATGACAATGTAAACTAACTTGGACGAGGACTGCTGAGATGTTACAATGTTTTGAAACAAATAGATGCATAGAACCATGGTCATTACATTTTTCTGCTCTAATCCTACATATATGCCTGCTCCATTTCCCTTGAGAGAAATTACATGGCTTTACTCTTGCAAATGTTACATGGTTCCAATTAACATTGAGGCATCTATCTAACTTGAATAATCATATCCATGGCTCTGTTTATTCATTGTGTATTTCCTCACCAAACTGAACAGTTTCTGGCTAATGGTTCCATAGTACAGCATCATTCACACAACATACAGTGATCAATACGTGCAAAGATACCGAGATTCTTGGGAAGACCAGAGTCTTCAGATGTTCACAGGTGAGGTATCCCTTGCCCAACCTTTTGTAATTTTAACCAATTTATGACAATACTGGTATCATGTAAGCGATACAACATGTTTTACCAAATACTAGTGTACATCAAAACACTGTACATCAAATGGCACTTGTCTTTGATCCTGGGAGTCATCTCCTGCATGTAAGGGACACATATTAGTGCACAAGCTTGGAATTTGGGTCCTGTTTTCAAAATGCAAAAGGGCTTTGGGTCCTTTTTTCAAAACACAAAATTAAAAGATATAGTTGAAACTTCAAAGTATGCCATCACCCTACTACTTCCACTAGGAAGCAGTCAAGACTACATGTGTATGTAATCCAGTAGCAAGAGTCCCAAAACTGTAGTCGAAAGTCAGGCAGTGATTTAAGCAGAGAACATCTTCATACTTCACTTAATGTAAACCTTTGCCGACAGCAACATGAAGCAGAGTGGTTTCAGTATCCACCAGGATTTACCCTGTACAGGGCCATGGGTGAATTATGACCATACTTCTGTTTGTCATCAAAGTAAGGATACTGGTATTTTGTGGCCTGTATGTTCCTAAAAGCTGGAGTAATCAGGCTGACCTGGAAGGACTCATTGATAATGTTGGCTGTGGAAATGACAGAAAATATTGTCTTTGCTATACAACATGTCCTTGATTTTGTACTTTTAACAAGTCTGTGCATTGATTTTGAACACCACTGCATCAGATGAGGATATTAGCAGAGGATGTTATCCATGGAATCAAGTTTATGTGTCCTAATCACATGACCATGCTGGAAAAATTGATGCTGCCTTTTAGTGCGACTTCTTGTAGGATACATAATCCACATAAAGGATGTCTACCAGACAGTGTTATAGATAGTCTTACTCTGCATATAAAGGACACTGGAGACAAAGCATTCCACTTGATAATTAATTTTCTGCCAACAAATTGCTCCAATTAGCTTGCATCCAGACGAAAATTGACAACTTGTCAGTTAGCTGGAATATTTTTAGTAACAATTTTGACAAAAAGTCAGCTACTACACAATTGCGGTGAAGAAGATGATGATGATGATAACTCCACCATTTATTATCCATGCAAACCCCACCCTGCACTACACAAACAACTGGCAGAACTAACCAAGCCTGGGGTGGTGCCCTCTCTCACCAGTACAGGACTATTTTCCATGTATGCCTTCAGCATGTCTGTGGAAGTGCCTTGTGGGTAGCCAAAGTCCTGCAGAAAATAAAAACAGTACAGAAACTTATAAGTTTGACTTCAGTGCTCTTAGATTTGAGCTAAGAATGAGCTAGGATAATTTCCTCGCTTGAAGCTCAAGTTAGCTTGATATATGGTTTGCTCACATGTAGAGCTGTGTACCGGTACGCAGTACCGATACTGTACCGGAAAAATTGATTAGGTACAGGTCCAAAATACCTAATCCCTCAGTACCGGTACTGTACCTAAACAATTTCACACCAATTTTATGCCTATTTGTGACCTCAAATGTGTAAATAGCTGGTTAACAATGGGTGCCTGTGTAAGGACAGCGTGTTCATGAAAACAAAAACACTTAGTTTTGCCTACATTTTATCTGAGCATTCGTCATAAACAAAGAATAAACCTTAACTATCAAGTTTATTTATGTTTTTGTGTTATTGAAGGAGTTCAGAAGAGCATATAAATTGGTCGAATTGTTCAGGTACAGGTTCAGGTCCGGACCTGTACCTAAACCTGTGTACCTGTACCTGTACCTGTACCTAAAATTTGTTTAGGTACACAGCTCTACTCACATGTAAATCTACTCAAACATAGCAAGTGTATAGCATAGTGTCCTGGGTACATTATACTGAGTGTTAGAGTGTCCATGGGTATGTCAAGTTCGCCATTTCCATATGGCTCTAAAACACACAATATGGAAATGGCGAACTTGACTTACCCATGGACACTCTAATACTCAGTATAATGTACCCAGGACACTTATCTAACTAGTAATAGTGACTTGCAATCTACATGTGTATGCCCGGAGTGGTGAAACTTCTGAGGGAAGAACTGAAAAAACAATCTGGTCCTAGACGTACTTTGTACATTCATTTGGAGATTTAGTGTGAGTCTGTGAGAGTAATTTTGCTCGTAGCAACGATATTTTAATTCGATTTTTCTGACTTGTAAAGTCTCGAGGTGTAGTCCTTTTAAGACCAAGTGCAATATGTAGAAATAAGACTACAGTATTTAGTAGTCACTTGGATCTGTCAGTGGGACAGTGTAACGTTGATATTTTATCTAACCTCTTGTAAATATCAAAGAATGAGATTTTATTTTGTATTGTACTGATTTCACGAGGCTCTCCAAGGATGGAGGAAATAAAGAGATGAAATGAAATGGAATGAATGAATGAATGAATGAATGAATGAATGAATGAATGAATGAATGAATGAATGAATGAATGAATGAATGAATGAATGAATGAATGAATGAATGAATGAATGAATGAATGAATGAATGAATGAATGAATGAATGAATGAATGAATGAATGAATGAATGAATGAATGAAGCACAGATGTTGTAGGCATATATTGGTACCTTGATACTCCATCCCAGCAAAGAGGCTCCAAGCTCTGCTTCTCTCATTCAAAATACTTTTTGATCCTTGTCTTCTCTACTCTTTATACCTCTACAAGTGGTTTCAAGGGGTTCAACTGGTCGCAAACTTAAAACATTGCAAAAATATCTTTTCCTTTCCTATTTAAATGCAAAATCCAGTCCTTGTTAAAATTTACAGTACTCCAGTGAATCACTAAAAAATAAGGAATCTACTTTACACACTTACAATGACTTCATCTAATATTTCATACACCAGTGGGAAGTTAAGTCTAATGGCCTCCTCTGACAGGACTCCACAATAATCCTTACACAAGCTCGCCACTCTGAAACGTAGAAAACAAAAATAGGTTAAAGAAGTTAAGAAAATTAGCCTGGGTACCATCCTACTTGTATGCCGGGGCTCCCACAGTCGCTTCCAAGTACTTTTTAGGGAAGCGACTGTGGGAGCCCCGGCATACAAGTAGGATGGTACCCAGGCTAAAAAAAATAGCCTGAATATGGATATTCCCGAAAGACACAGTACAGTGTACCTAGAGGCAAATTATAAGCTACCCTACTGGTACATGTTTACAGGTGTAGACATACCAGGTCAAGACACAGCATGCACAGCATATGACTAGCCTGGTTACCATACTCAATCGGCTGGCTTAGGGGTGCTTCGGCTGGCCAGAGTTTGTTTGGCACCCGTAGGGGAGGCAATAATTTGAACAGCTGGCTGCTACGATCCGGTGCCAAACAAACTCTAGCCATCTGAAGCACCCCTAAACCAACCCGTATGAGCATGGGTACCAGGCTAGGTTATGACAAGAATGAGAAATTGTACTAGTGAATCTTCTACTCCAGGTCTTTGGTAACAGTAATAACAACCAGTGCAGAAGCAGGAAACATAGGATGGTTACCTATTGATGAGTTCAATGACCATGAATGGTGACACGTTACTCCTAGTTGTGGCCATGAAGTACAGGCTGTTGTGTTTAACATGGAGGTAGTGGATGCCATCATGGTGCTGCAACAAAATAAAACACTGTCAAACCCAGATAAGTTCACCACCCCAAATCTTAACATGATGACTCTTTCAGAGTAATGGGAGGAAGACCTGTGTGGCTTTGTACTGAGTGCCTTTCTTGATTAAGGAGTCAATACAGCAAGTCATGGCAGTAAAGTGATTATTATGTATTAAACAAACCAAAATTAAGTTTAACAGCAAGAAGGAAATGCACTTATGTAACATGATGAATGTCTTAAGTTAGACACTAGTAGATAACAGACATTGCCAGAGACATATCACACATAGGTTTCAAAATAGGTTTCGGAAAAATATAGAATAACTCACAAATGTTGGAGGTGCCAGTCCCCCAGATAAGCCCCTTATTTTCTGCAAGAACAGCTCTGGAGAATCCTTCCCTACATCACCTCTGTCTGATAATAAACATTAAGTCTTAACTGTTGTTACAGTGGAGTTTTTCAGACCCGGTGTCTTCTTCTTCTTTCGGTTGAGGCGACCACCTTCAACATTTTTTAATATTCTGTCGCCTATAGTTGAAACTGCATGCTGGGAGTGGGTGTTCATGTAGTCTGTAAGGGGTGATGCTAGTTGGATCGTATTTTGTGCTCAGTAAGAAGGTAAGGGCAGGGTCAGGATTTGGGCTGTTAAACGTTAATACTGTTCCAAGCTGAACACTACACATACACATATGATACATCATCCTTGACACCTCTACTGAATAGGTTCTATTGCAGAATTAATTGCCCTGTCTACATTGCTATCCTTCAAAATCTGGGGACACAATTTGCAGTTAACCAGTAACGTACAACCCGAGAATCCACAGGGGGGGATATCAACATGCCTGCCATTTTGACTGACGCTGGCAAAGTTCAAGGATACGCCCATGGTCTGGTACAGGCCTAACTAAACCCAGCTGGTTTAACAGTCTGATGATAATGAATTTGATAAACATATCATACACATGTAAGTTATCTCATATATTATGCTATATCCATAATACTGACAAGTGCCCCCCTCCCCCCACCGTCCCTAACAATTTCCAATGAAAATGGCGAATCTTGAGAGGATACAGTCTTTGAATAGTAAGATGTCCCCGTGCTGAGATAGGATGACAAACTGTGAAATCATTTCAAACTGCACTGATCATTTATCAATGTACAATGACAAATATAACAGACGCAGACGACAAACGTCGATTCTTGTCCTGCAGGCAGCCATCTTGTAACAGATTACCGTAATTCGGCACATGTCTACCGTCGTGATTCACGACCATTAGCCCAAGGTGTGCAGAGCGGATGGCATTACATTTTCGTGTATCCGGAGCCTCGGGAAACACAGCAAGGCGTAGTATATTGTAGAAATTTCAAGTGAACTGCTCTACTACATATCAATAGTAAATATATAATAGGTCTCCCAGCCAAGGAGGTTGCTCCAACTTCTAAGCCGCACCGTAATGATGACGTCACTGCCTGACAGGTTGTTGTTTGGAAACACCTGTATGATCGTGTACATTCGGGCGCATTCAGTTTACTGACATTACAATACACAATGCCTTGAAAATCATTCTCCCCCATGTAGTGGTTTCATATGTTATGACCGTGAGTGCCATTCACGGTGGTATCTTAAAGCTTCTTGCTCCCAGCAGAGAGGTATTTCCTGAACTTGCATTTTCATATTTCTTTTGTGTAGGTTTGTTTATGGGGTAACGTCACTTTTCTTGTCCCCTTAGGCCACACGAACAGTCATCATTATTTCCTTTTTTTCAAGTTTGCATGCAAGTCTATTACCGCAACCACAAATGAATTTTGATGTGGTATTTATTCCCTACCATTGTAGACCAAACGGGTGCACTAGAAATTCAAAATATGCAAGTTGAATTTGTAATAACAACTGAATTTTTTAAAAAATTCAAGCATAGATGATACTATGTAGATTCTTTGCCATTATCCCGTAATAGCGGGTTCATCACCGTTCATATGTTTCACGGCCGGTATGAAGGCCAGTGAACCATGGTTCGCTAGACCCTTGCCTGCGACCTGCCGGTGACTTTCGGATAAGGATTCTACAAACGTGTGTCATCGCTATTCCACACCAACCATTAGTATTTTGTGCACAAAACTGCGCGATTCGCGTATTGAATAACAAATTTAGTGCACCGCTGAGCCTCTTAATCTAGAAAGACAGGGCTATCTATTCAATTTTAAGGTGTGCTAGAGCCCCGCACGACTTCGTAAGCCATTGAGCTCGCCAAGGTAATAAAAAAGCATTTAGGTGGGTCAGTTCAATATTAGCCAGAGAACTAAGTATACTCATTCTGACAGCGTGCAGGCGAGGTGTAGTTTATATAAGGTCGCAGTAAAGGCAGGCATGCATGAACAATATTGCTCCAAGCCTGCTGGATCCTCCAGGGCTTAATTGCAGCAGCTTCTCGATAGGTTACAACATGCTTCTTCCTCCTAATCACCTTCGGGAAATTACCGACTCGCGCCTTCGGTAGCAGATATTACTCACCTGAAACATTAAACTGAAGACTTATGTATCCTGCTAAAGAAGGTAATGAAATGCATTGACAAATTGATGACGTCAAAGTTTTTATTGCCGGCTTCCTTTCTGGCTGGCACGATTTCCGTTGATTCAAACATACAATATTACCATGGATATCGTGATGATACCAACAAAACTTGTTTAAGTGTAGAATACAAAGTTCTTGAGTTGTTTTCTGATAAAGGTGAAGATGGTAACCCCCAGGGTCACTCCATGTCGTTAAGAGTGCCCAACAAAAAGATTATCACTTAGCACAATCACAACTGGTAACAAACACTGGCAAAAAAAAACTTAGAAACACTGGTGTTTAAAAAGATTTCATATGCACGTTTGTAGCCGGTGCCACAGCAGGATACGACCACCAACGGGCGGCGTGGGTGTTCGTTGTGGAGACGTCTCCGTATTTTGGCAACGGAATCTACTTGTGTAACGTACAGGCTGTGTGCCCAAATATTTGCTTTTAGATCCTTCAATGGGCGGGAGAGATTGCGGTGGAATTCAGTCCGACCCAACCCTAGCCTGCATAGACGTATTCGCCACCTGACGAGCTGAAAGAACATACAGGTAACAGTTATGTCGTTCTGGATTGTAAAGTAAGCAAACTTGTTCAGGGCCGTGTTACAAGAAGATGAAGACTGTTTGGTAAACGTTATTGTCTTTCTCAGGTTACGAGAACCTCTAAGTGTACTCCCTGTCCTACCACCGGCACGAGGTTAGTAAACACCAGCTTAGGGTAATTCATAGTCCGGTCAACGGGGAGGGGGGTGTTCCACCTGCAACGATAAATGGCTATCTTTCTTTCTGTGAACTGAGTGGTTTAACGCCAGTAGTTCATATCCCGTCAAACAGCCAGACGATCGACTATGCGTATGTCAACACCACACTGACAGCTCGATACTAACTTGAGTATAATCCTGATACGTAGATCACGTTGGATATATAAATTGAACAATGACCACGGGCGGGCTTGTTGGCTTTGCCCTATGTCATCGGCTGCCCTCATGTGTGTATACCACCATTTATCCAGCGCAGTAGTATGGTGCCCTTTCTTTCTACTGAATTATGTCCCTATGGTGGTTCCTTTTATATTCCAACGAGAGTTGCGTACATAATACAACACAGTCAACTGTTTAACATGTGCTTGAGCACATACCGTCAACATTTTGGAGCTATATAAACAAAAAGGCTGTCATGATTTCTGCAAGGAGTTGAAAGCTCGTTGACTTCTGCAAGATGGTGTTGCCAGATCTAGGTTTCGATGAAGAAAGTATGCAACCAAGAGGTTCAGTTGTTGATGGAAGGGCAGTGTTAATGAACTTCCGGTGAATTTGCAACAACTGATTCAACAACATAAGCCAGGTGATTCCTGTGCCGATTTTGCGACGTGTAGCTAGGGCCGGATATTGGCCTCAACAGCTGAATAAATTTGGTGATTTTCCAAAACTCGCCTTGTGACATGTATCAAAAACTGTCAGACGGTGAAGGAGGAAAATGAAATGAGTCAGTACGTGGAGATTATCGATAGACTGTAATCTGTCTGCTGTATTAGTAATATGCCGGCTTAGTGGTATCCCTTCATCCCACCACAACATTGCGTGCACAAGTCTCATGATGAACTGTAAGCTGAATGCCGCTTCCGTTCTCTGCTGATATTGGGGAAGATCAACCACTTCTTGTAAGTGATTAGACCAAGTACAGCTTCTGCTCAGGGGGATCAGTGTTCAGGTGATATATGAACGTATGTGATCATCCTGGAGAAAGGTTCACTTGTCATAACGTAAGGTTAGCTTGCTTCCTAAGACGATATTTACCAGACCATGAAGTGTGTCTTAAGTTCTCGTGACTTGACTCCCTCTTTACTCCCCATGCGCACACTGTGGTCCATTAGGGCTGAAATAGCACGCAAATCCACCCGTCATTATCAACAACTTCTCATCTCTGGGGAAAATTACTTTGGAGTGATGAGAGGGAGGGGGCACTCTTCCATGCCCTCATAGCGTGCCACAATATTTCTCTCCTTTTTGCGGCATCCTTATTACACGGAGCTTATGGATTGGTACGCTAGTAATCATTTACAAATCATATCTGGCGTTTTAGACGCTTTCAAAATCATTAATAAGTACCATTTGTTCATCTGCTTTAGATAGTCTATTAATGGCTGATCGTCCATGCGTAGATCCGATGGAAACGCAGGGAAATTAGATATGGTTTTAATCCCTGACATTACATAAAGAACTTTTTTTTCGTTTTCGACATTTTGAGACACTTGTGAAGGTGCGGTGCAGAGTGGTCGATTGCCCTAAACTGCCTGACTGTTGGCGAAATTTTCTGTCAGCGCGTATTTCGGCCAAAGGCAAAAAGGGGACAGAGGTTGAATGTACAAAGCTGCCAGCCCTAGGGGTGGAATGATGTCCGTACTAAATTCCATTCTTCGATATCTTAATTGAAATAGTAAACACAGAATCAATAAGAAATATGACTTTTTATTATAACCAACTCTAACATACAACAGCTTCGTGCCTCATTAGTATGAAAGTTCATCTGAGTTGCTTGAAATTACATGATGAAAATTAGGGAAAAAATCACTTGGGTCAGATAGCTGATAGAGACCGGGAGATTCGATCGAAAATTCTGGTGAGTTAATTTCTTTTTGACTTGGAGAAGAGTTTAATTTTCAATAACTACGTGCCTCGTTCATTCTCACACATTAGCGTGTTTGAAACTGTGCAGTTTAAAGCCAATGATTTGTTATTGTGATAACTACCCAACTACGATGTATGTGTTCGGGAGCAACACAGCACCGCATGTTAAATGGCGCGTATGGCCGTCTTCAATATACTTATTGTTTTCAGATACATATTGATATTCCCCTGAGATGTTACCATAGATAGAGGCCTCCTGTCTCCTTCCCAAAGTACGCGTATCGTACCAAATGATCCCATAGAAATGGATGTCCGCTGTTGCTCTTTCAGAACGAGGCTGGCCAATATAATAGACGTTTGTCCGCATCCAAGAGGGCAATATTGGAAAAAGAACACACATCTACTGTTTGGTATCTGTGGTATATGGTGCGCATCAAGTGATGTATTTATGACGTCCAGCAAAGTTTATGGTGTAAACATGTCGGAGGGGTGTTGCACTCTTTGTATTCCCAACTGCCCTACAAATGGACAAGGTTGCCTTCTCCATCTTTACCTCCTCCTTGTTATCAGCGCCATACATAGTGAGAACCGATTTATTACAACCGTGAGGTTGGGACTTCTTAGAGCTGGTACAAAGTGTCAGTAACTAAATCAATGATCAGTGCTTGATGACAGCACTGGACTATTATAATAGAAACATACATGTATCCCATACCCACCTAACCCAACTTCAGAAACAAAGGCTCAGACTGGCATTTTACAAATTACAAGTGCGCAAACTTCTCACTTCTGCATGGTCACTCAGCAAAATACGTTTATGGGTTATACAGACATATAAAGCGTATGTTTATGATCATTTTGCCTCGCGTATTCTCACATGACCTCATATTACATTTCCATCACGCCTTTTAGATTTAGTGTTATCATTTTCTTATTGAAAAGAGATTAAAATGTTTGGCGCGTTGGGTATCATTTCGACTGACTGGGGTAAAGCAAGCCAGAGGTGACAGAAAAGCTTTCTCGCGAATTTCCATTCCTTCAACCTCGCTGCCAAATTTCTCCCTATCATTTTATATAAAGAGCATGCGCTTTTTGCTGCTTAAGTGGTTATGGTCGACGCAGCAACCTAATTACACCGCTTTAGGGGATAACATGCAAGGGAAGGGATATTCATTTATCTCTCCTTTACTGACAACCGCAGTCAGAAAGCGCCATTAGTTCTACTTCTTCTGTAGCCCGGGGATGTTGTAGTGAGAGGCCGCTGCGTCGGGGTTCCACTGATGTACTGATATATCGCCGGGGCGGAAATTAGTGTTTCGTCAGCAAAATTGAGAGAATCTTGTTTGAAGTATTTACGGTACGTTACAGATGTAATGAATCAAGGGGCGACTGACGTACTTGAATACGCCCCAGCCGGGACGGGCATCTGTCTTCGGGATCTGGGATTGGGATTTGTTGTCAGACTCAGAATTGATCTGGAAAACGTTTACTTGGAGATTTTGGCTTGATTCGGTGATTGTGTGTTGCTTATGATCATTTGTGATCGGGTGTACTGTACTGGTGAGCAATAATTTTCTCATGAATTTGTTTTTATACACATCTGAAATATGTCAAATGGGAAGTTCAGTTCTAGTAGTAAGTTTCATATGTTTACTGAGTTTTTATACTAATATTTGAAAGTAAGACTTCATTTCTGCCGTTTCCGATGGCTGATATTTATGTGCACTCTGATTTCAACTCTGTTAGTTAGGCTGATCTTTTCAGCAGACTATGGTCGCCGTTTGGAGACGCATTCGTGATCAGCCGTTTCTGTTCACTGTATTCGGATCATTGCCATGAAAAATGAGGATCATTAATCTAGTCAAGTTCATTCATAACCTGAGAAACTGGCATAATCAAAACGCAGACAAGAGACTGCTGGGGAAGCTATTTTTGTGCTCCATGATACATGAAATATGTAAATAGTACAGGGACTACTAAGTCTTTGTTGTGGAAAGCAATCATGAAGCATCGATCTCAATAGAGCAATATGCGTTTTTTGTCAGATTGTAGTTAGGGGAAGTGCTGAGTATTTTGTCTACCGGCATTTAATGAATGTAAATGCATGTAATTTTAACCTACATTTAGAAGAATAAGTAGTTTTGTTAAGTAGCATTGTCTTTCAGTTTTAAGCTACCCAGGCAAAGCCCTGGTCGCATACACCTGACGATGCACCTGTGGTGGAGGGTTTCCGCGACGATCGTCTGATTCCGTATGGTTGTTTCAAAATTTAACATCTGCACCTGACTCTTCTTGTACCTACGATATAATGCGGTATCGTCTTAAAAAAAAACAATTTTACGAGCTCACCTGAAAGACAAACGACTTATGTAAGTGTAAATGTAGATTGTATTTATCATTGATTGGCGACATCGAGATCTTCTTGACCTTGAAGGTACACGCTGAAACGCTGTTTCGTCATCGAGATGATTAAAATACCGCGATGTGTGGGTGTTGAGATGAGTTAAGAACGTCCAACCATAACCGTGACACCCCTGATACGCACATGTGGTGGTTCGTTCCCAGACTGACACGCTCTCATTCTTACTGCAGACGATGTTTTGTGACCATATGCATCTACCCGTGCTGACCTTGTCCTTGTGCGCTGGAGGTCTGTTCCTCCTGTGGGCCGTCCTGCCGATCCAGGCCGACTCGTCTCTGGGCTGTGACGTCTGGAGAGACGTGTCGTTCTACGCCGAGAAGGAGGGATGCGAGCGGCAACAACTCAGCGTAGACGCTTGCAAGGGCCGCTGTGATACTTGGCAGGTATAAAAACCAGCTTTTTCGACCTCGTTGAGAAGACCCACCTAACAAATTGATACATGTACAGTGATTGTGATAAGTGAGACTGTCGTGCAGTGTAATGGTGACTTATAACATTGTAGGGAGTCTCAGTCTGTAGGCTCGGATTGATGGGGTGTCTCCTGTCGATCTGGGCCGCGCCAATCTGCCGTACGGAACGTGCAGACCTTCCCATCGGATGAATTTACCATCACCGTAGGCTTCGTCGCTGGCGACGAGTATATTGTGGTGTTTGGTTGATTTCGCTCCTTGTCGTCGTATTTAGCATGATGATAAAAATTGTCACGAGGAGGTTCTTGAGTAACTTCAACAATTGGTGGTTTATTCATCTGTGTGTAGATCTGTGTGTGTTTCATCTGATTGACATTGGTGACACACAGAGCTTCATTTGCATTAGTCTTAAAATCAAATATGACGCATACAACTCAACTCATGGTAGTTTTGTTATCCTTCTTAGTTCTTCTCGTTTTCAACCTACTTGAAATTTGAAGACTGAGGTGCGAAGATCACATTTATAAGTAAGAGTTTACAACTTTGCCTTAAGTTAAGATATTCCATGGTTATAGAGTGATGAGCGTTGTCGTCCTCAGATCCCGCACCTGACGCCGCCGTTCCGGACGTCCAGCCACACGGTGTGCACGTACGACCGGGTGGAGACCAGGACAACACAGCTGCAGAACTGCCAGCCAGGTGTCGACCCCACCTACGTCTACCACAACGCCGTGTCCTGCAGGTGCGCCATGTGCCACGCCCACAACACGTCCTGCGAAACGTTAGTATGAGGGGCTGTCTCCGGCGTAGTCTGCCGGGCGGCGACATGGGCACACCAGACAAACAAGAAACACAGACTGGAAAACGATTGTGGATGCTAGATATAACGTTAGATCAGAGAGATGGTTTTACGACTGTAGTAAAACATTGATTCAACCCCAGATTTCATCATACGTGAATTTCTTTACCTTTAGACAGAGGCAACCAAGAGTTTGCCTTTTTTCAGTATACATGTATAAACATTTGTTCTGGTGAAGGTAGATGGCATTTGACTGTGATAATCTCATCCGTTACACATATCTAAAGGGAAACGTCAGCAACAAGAATGTACTGCCGCGGGTCGGATGGTATCATACCCCCCTCCCCTGAGAAAACTTCGAGGATACAATGTTGTCCACCTATACTGTAGATTTGAGAATATTAATGTATACTGTCCACTAGCCTTTAGTGATGTTCTGAAACCCACTCTGTCACTGCAAATGGAGTAGTCTTTGAGTTTCAGTCCACGAAAAACTTCAAATAAACGGTATTGCGCTATTGAACACCATGTCATGTCCTGTTTCATGTCCAATACGTTGGCGAGTTGTGTCGTGTTAGAAAAATGATACATAGGGTGACTGCTATTTGACTTTAAAAGACATTTACAAAAGAAACGACAGTGATTACAAAATAAGACAATCTTAGATCAATTCAATTGTCGTTCGTGTGAAGGCTTTGAGTATCTTTCTGTTGATATGAATCCAACCTACATGTAGTTGGCGCTGGTAATCATATAAGAGAGAATGGTTGAATTATCGGTGAAAATGATCGTTGAAAAATTATCAGTTAAGCTTTCATATTCGTTGCAATGCGATAACGTGTAATCCTCGGATACAAATACAGGTTTACCACGGTGGCGGTCCCGATAGGACCGGAATTTGGGAGAGAACCTGCGATGTACGAGTAAGAGCACTGGGCTATTATCAAAACGTCAGGTATCACCTTGGGAAGGGCGTCTATTTGAATATTCAAATATGAATGCTATGTAATGGTCAAGTAACACCCTTATTTATCTGGTGAATTGGCCATTAAGTATGTAGGAGTTAATCAGGTCAGAGTATTAGGCCCGGTACATGTACGGAATAATACTTTGGGCATCCAAGCACCAAATCGAAGACTCATTCAGAACTTATTAGTGGATGTCAGAACTAAGAAACTACTGTGGTAACTGCATGTGTGGTCATGATGGTGTGACCTAAACGAATGAGGATCTGCCGCAAAAAATATTGCCTTATAATCTTTATTTCCACCATGAGTTTGTTGGACAAAACTTTTGCAAATGCTCTCCATTTAATTCTTACGGCTAACGCCTGTACAGCATAGATGGAGCATGCTTCATCATCGGAAGTACACAAAACGTGCATTCGCATCGTTTTTGTTGTCTACTTATGTCTATTCTCATTGTAGTTGTAGTTGCCAACAAAGCAAAGGAAAAAATGCCCTGTACAGCTCTTATAATTCTGCTGCCGCATTTATTTACCGGCTACATCACACTACAAGACTTTTTCTGTAACTCACACTTTGTGAGGAAAATGTTTATTTCAAAGTCATTCATTATCTTTGAAACGAATTCCGTCGTCATCAGATGAGTATCTTTAGCAAATCGTTACAAGAAAGAGCCTATTGTTCAAGGTTCTTCTTGCCAAGCCGTGGGTCCGCTGTGACGTCACGGGTTATCGTCGCAGATACTACAGGCGCAGCTGGCTGCCGAGTAGAGGGTCTTGGGGACCAGCAGGTTCCCACAGCGCAGAGAGAAGTTCACCTGGTGAGTCAAAAAGACAAGAGAGTTAAGTTACTTTACTAATAGCTTTGTCTTATAAAAACATGAACAACGCACAACAAGTAAGGTCGCCACGGCTACGTCGTGACGTCTTCGGCTCATATGACGTCAATTGCTGATGACGTCATCAGTGTAATAGGTATAAACGAGAATTAAAAATTAAAGAAGTAGGCTATAAGAGCTTTGCGCCAATAAACGTTACAGTTGAATAACTTAAGTTCATCGAACTTTCATTCCGTCTGTAATCCTGGAGAAATCGAATTGTGTACGTTTCTGGCATACACAGCCGCCGGCTAGCCAAGGCAGCTTCACACACCACAAATTACCTGTATGGTACCTGTCAGTATCAAGTCCGATGTCGGACGCATAAGTGATCGTGACATTATTCACTAGATTATCAGGTCGTCGTTTCTCAGAAATGATCCACAGTTTAAATGAATAGCAATAGTTTTTACAAAGATCACATCGAGACAAGAAGAAGAAGTACATGCAAAAGATCAACCATGACGGCAATAACAAATAAGACACAGTGACGAGATAACATCAGAAACACAGAACTGTCCGTACCACGTGTGTGGAGGCGATGTCACAGCAGGTTGCTCTGGACGTGATGACGTGGTTCCCGCTCGACCCTTGCCGTGTGGTGGTAGAGGACGGGAAGGCTATGGACTCACAGTAGCCTCTACAGGCGTTCACTCGGACAGTCTGTCTCTGGCATCCGGGCACCTCCACAGATTTGTCAACGCCTGTCATAAAACATGAGGCGAAACCTGTCAATGCAGCTAAATGTGTGAACATGACTGTTGGACAGCTGCAATCAAAGTTTTGGTACGGTTTGTCGAAAATGCCATGACACAAGATGACATAAAATCCATTCTAAATTTATCATACTATTAATTACACTCGTTAACAGTTTATCTCTGCTCACCTACGAGATGGCAGCCAGGCCTGTACCAGGGGGCCTGTGCCCTGCCCATGTCGGATGAAGACAGAAGGATCGTCAGCAGCAGTACCCACGGCAGTAGTCTCTGCATCGTGCCTGCTTCCCGGTGACTGGTTCCTGAATGTTCTATGATTCCTGCAGGGTGATGTAATAAAAGAGGAGGAAGGAATAAACTCAGGTTGCCTAGTAACCGTGGGTTACATGGAAGTTGACTTTTGACACAGGCACTCTTCAGTCAGCTGATCACGTACCAGAGAAGTACCTGTTTTATATCCATATGTTCTGGTGTAATCAGCTTGCTACATTGACTTTTGCAGAGAATGCGATGGTATGAGTTCAACTAGACCTAACTTTTTCACAAAAACACAATTCTCCAGCCTCCTTTGTTTTCCTGACTTGTTGCTGTAATGGTCTGCTTCATAACACATTCCATTTCTGACCACGCCTGTTTTAGCCTCGGTTAGCACAGGATTATGACGCAAAGGCCCTGCGTGATGTTTTCAGGTCACATTCGTATCCTATCAACAGGTGTGTTTACTGGGGAGGATCAAGGATATTTGTACTTTACACACCCGCGGGGTTACACTCCACAGGATGTGATAAAATCCAACTGAGATTCCAAACCGCACCCTGGCAAACCCAGTTGGCGCCGTCTAGAAAACTCCACAGGGATCATAACTTGGCGATTTTTTTCTCGCTATGGTCATTGAGGAACAAATTACCCGTAATTGACGATGATTTTCAGTGACACCGGGGTCATTTGCACCGCTCGAGTTAAAAGGAATGTAATCTAAAAATATCCGCCCTTAACCTTTAACAACCCATTTCATTCACTCCTGTCCTTTGTATATACTCATTAAATAAGCTTTAAACACCTTCCTCCATATGGACGGTGGTATGTTTGGCCACACACATTTACATTTACATTTATCGCTTGGTTAGTGTTTCTCTGTTGTTCCCTACAGCAAAACGTTTGCTTGTTACCGATGTTGTTGTGACTGGTTTCCAAGCCAAAAATTGGCGTGACGTTAAAGCAGAATATGTTCATACATCATTCGTCTTCAAATGTTTATGACAACACTCATAACAAAAGGGCAAAACAAGGTTTGTTGAATATTGTTTTGGACACTCCTCACATGAATGGCTAGAAGACAAGTCATCTCCCCAGAAATAGGAAGCAGCAGTATTTTATCCTGTTGCTGCCCCGCAACAGATGATCATTACAGTCCCTATGAGCTGAATGGGAATTGTTAACTCAGGTAACGCCCAAGACGGAGGTCATAAACGTCAACATCAACAAAAGAGACCACTGGATTGATTCAGTCCGTCTCAAACGGAACCGCATGGGCAAACTCCAGGTTGCCGTGTGACAAAGCAGGGAAGGCATGGGGCGCGCTTATCTTTTCAGATTGTGTTGTCTTTGAAAAGAGCCTGCGTTACTAATTAGAGGATAAACAGCCAGGACGATTTTCGTTTGTCCGTCCATCAGATATCACAGGTACTATTCAATGGTCTGACAATGATGATTACTACTGTGCTGCGTGATGTTATATGCCCTATCAACATAGTACGTAAACTACTATAATAGTTACAATCTCCAACACACCGGTACCTTTGTCGTTTCAACATAAACTTGGGATCGACCTTCAACGAAATTAATGAGTTGACCCCAGTTCGCCATGATGGCTATTGCAAACACCCCTGACCTCGCAACCACATCAAAGATACCATGCAACATGATCAAGATGGGAAATGTCCTCTTACCAAAGACAGCTGATCTACACAGCGATTGCGCTTCTTCAGGGTCTTCTCGGAACTAGGGTGTTCTGGTCTAACGCTACACTACACGGGCCTCCATACAGTCTTTGGTGACACGAGATAAGGACTCTCAAGATTTATGAATGAATTTTAATCTTATGAATCAATAATACATATGATTACGTAAAGACAACCCTCCCACACACACTGTATAAGTTGTGAATCACTCTTGTGGGAGACAGATACCCCTTCTTAGAACATGTTGCCTCCCACAACATATTGATGTTCTACCCATTCCTGAAAACCTGACTTGTCACATGTCCAGTCCTGCTATATAAAAGCTAGCCGTCCTCTACAAAGTAACACCCACCTGCTGAATGCTCCCTTAAGTGCTACTCATCGGCCGGATGCGATAAGCAAAATGTAGTCTACATGGATCCTATCTTATACCATCCCCCGGTCAGCAATTTGTTTCCAACCTCACGGTATGTTAGCAACGGCTGGCGGAACCAGCAGGGGACAGGCAGGTGTGGGGAAACGCAGGATTCCCGCTGTGGAGATGATGCACGCTCACGGTTGCTGACGTCCAACCCTCGGGCCCTTCCGTCAGGTCGGCCTCTCTGTCAATCATTAACTGGCCTCTTTGTCACCGCCTCTTGTCGTGGCTGCCGTGATTGCTTAGGGTGGTCGGTGTACAGCTATCTTCCCCTCCTGGCTGAAAGTACCCCGTTAACGTAAACACACGTGCATAATGCGACAAAAATAAAGTCCCCGTTGTCGCATTCCGGACCGAATCCAAGAAATCTGGCGGCAGCAATGTCACCTACCAGAGCCAAATCCATAACGCCTCCAAGGCCATGCCAGAGTTTTATCATGCACGATATAGTGATTGTTTCTTCACACCAGAGCAGCATTAGTCATCGCAATAAACAACAATCTTGGAAATTATCGTTACATTGATGACTAGCTAGTGTACTGTTGATCATACTGTTGGATTTGCGTTGAAGATAATTAAATGGTGAAATTGAGATTATATTCATGTCAATCTAGGTTGTCGTAAATGACATGCTAAAGCAAGAAAACAAACAAACAAACAAACAAATAAAGACAACACATTAGTGCCCGATATTGGCCTTGGTCCGTTTCAAACAATATTAAAGCATTCTTGTGTCAAATGATACGCGCCATATATAATCCTTTACCCTTCCCATGTGACTATTAGCCTGATACTAGTATGCATCTATCCCATCGGAGAAGACTTTGTTCTTCATCCATTGTCACACAACCTGAGATGAATAATTTTTAATCTACTGAATTTCGTTCCCTTAGTTCTACCATAGCCTGATTAAATCGCTTTACGGTTGCCGCCCGCCCAACATCCAGCCGCCCCCCGGAAAGGGCCACTAAACCCGCGGACGGCAGAGTTTGCGTTACACAGACTAGTTCTACCAGAGAAACTGGAATTAAATAACTATTTTAAAAGTGCCGCTACTGTTTTTCCAAAGCTCCCAATTCAAGTTTTGCAGTATGACTGGATAAGTACGACGTTTGCAGAGAAGCAAAAGATCGGTAGGTGACGTTGTACACTGCAACATATTTCTGTATTGAGGAGAGTTCACTGCAGTTGAAAACACCGAGACGTACAATCTCTATCCTTTGCGTTTGGCGTTTGTTTTTGACGCGGTAACGCTCTTCAATATGGTATTTTCATAATTGTATGATAGCGTTAGATGTTTTTCATAAGCTCAACAACACAAAATTGTAAACAGAAGAACAAAGTCATCTTTGATAAAAAATATCTTTCATTTGCTACATATTATTTATTTCACAAGGTATCGTGGAAGGTGCAAACCATAAGTCACAATCCCAACAGACATACTCGCAAACGATTATACACAACAAACACCTAATATCTGCTTCCAGAACCTTGCCTACCACACAGCTTGTTAAGCCCTATTCCAAGGGATTATAAAAATAGGGGTGTTTCTGAAATATGCATTTACTTCAATATGGAAACTGCTACGGTGAAAATAAAAAAAGTGCATCATCACGAACATAATGGCTCACTACACACCCAATTACATAGAAATACAACAGCGAGAACTATGACTTGAACTCATTTCAAAAACAGCCCCATACGTTAAAGTTTAAGAACAGATGACCCACAACTGGTTCTAATTACCGACCCACCCCTACGTCTGCACGAAGGAAATCAGCCAGTCCCGCTATTCAAAACCATAGGCCATTCCAATCTGCCTCATAAATGTAGGGGTGCATCTAAAATATTACATTGACCACGAAAACAGCTACGGTAAAAATAAAAACACGTGCATCTATAATCACCACGGGCATGCCTCCAAACGACGTATGAAATTACATGCCGATTAAACAAAGGGAACCCTGTGTTTTAGCCGCGAGCACGAAAAACCGTCTGACCACAATACTCCTGCAGGAGGTATACCTCCCTCACGGAGTTACTAGGCTGGACTCCAGGCGGCACCGCTCAAGGACGTTCGGTGTGTTGGCGCCACCTGGCGACCGTATTGGAGATGTCAGCATTCAAGAAAACATTCGTTTCATACGGACAAAATGGTGATTGCAGACAATCAGATCAGTAAACAATGTCCTTCTTGTTCTTATATTTACTACTTTTTTCAGATCACAAGCGTTAGAATTTATAGATACCAAACAGTGACACGAATGCTGACTCGAAAGCGCTGTTGTTTGAATGCCGAGCTAGTCTCACTGTTAGGTCGCCCGGCTGCGTGAATCATCTGCTCACTTCTGTCCAGTCGCCTCGAGACGGTCGCGCTATGGGCCCTGGGTAACCGTGACGCACAGAATGGCGGCGTGAGGATAGTTTTGAACACTAGAGCTGTTTACGTTGCCGAAAATTGCTCTTGTGAGTGACCTAGGAATCATTCCAGATGGATCGAAACCTCAATTTGTATACATAAGAACCCAGATGGGTTACAGGTAGCCCAAGGTACACTTTGCGCGACCCAAATCTCGCCAGGACGATGGATCTCTCAGGTGGGTTGGAGCAGGTCGAAGACGACTTGCAGGAACTTAGTTTGGAGAGGACAATCACCAAGAGCTTAAAGGTAAGCTATTTATAAAGTTCAAAATAGGGTTAGAAACTTTGAAAAGACCTGTAGGACTGTAGTGTTCAGTTTATTCAACCGTATTGCGGACCTCGATCACAGTTGAGAGTATGGGAGTTGCGGTACGTGTCGCCCTCTGTGCATACCTGTGTTTTCAGGGCGACATCTCAAGTTTTGTTTGTCTGAGCCAGTGTCGCCTTGGGATTCAGCTGCTTTGTCCTCGCGTTAACCGTGAAAACAGTTTGACCGCCCCGAAACTGTTTAGACGATGTCGTGGTATCTTACCGTTGACTTGTGTTGTTATTTGACCCATAGACCCAAGAAGAGATCGATCGTTTGACTGTTGATGAGAAGCTAGGTGACCTTGAACGTGCTGTTTACCTGCTCAGGTAAGATTTACTGTCGACTTTTCATAATCGGTGCAAATATCGAACTCTATGGCTTTTGTTAATCGCCTAAGAGTGACATTTGTGTTGTTATTATATCACATCCATATTATTTAAATATTATGTCACATCAGGTGTTCAAGTTGTGCAGCAAATGTAAGATTTAGACTGAAATTAGTGAATCTAGAAATAATTCGTGGATCAATAATTAAATTGGTGACATTCATGTACATAGTAATACTAATACGGCATGCCTAACTTTTCTCAAATATAGTATTGAAACAAATATCTACTAGTACCTTTTGCGACTTGGGGACTGGCATTATATTAGACTGTATATCTGTTATAGTACAAGGAAAATACTTATAAAATATAACATTTAATTGAATTAAGGGCCTCTGAGTCTGAGACATCATCAATTCCTCAGAGGTACATCATTGACAGTATTAGAAACATGTAAGGTACATGTTTAGATATTGTCAGGTAGACACTGGAGTACATGTTTTAGATTCATGTTTACTAATACATGTATAATCAATCTCTGTTAGTAAAACAGGTGGAGCACATACTGCAACTTTACTACTAGGTTAGATATCCTATTGTTGTGTAGGGGTGGAAAATTTTTCAACAAAACAAAGAAAAGACTGCTATGCATGCTGTTTTTGTACTGGTAGTTGCAGGCCTTTACAAACAATTTGGTTCATGCATGCCTGCCATTCTAGAGCCAATAGACAAACACTTAAAAAAGTGTGGTTGTAATTAACAAATTGATGATTTTCAGAAACCGTAACATAAGCATCAGTGGTAATGGTACATACATACAATACATGTATTTTGCAAAATGCAACTGTTTTACACACAAATGTGTTGTCAACCCAGATAATAGACTGGTGCCAGTTAGGTGCAGGTAGACATCAGATATACCTTAACGGGCTTAAGTTTACAGTGCCAGTTTACCTGCATAAATCCTCATATGCAGGTGGTACATGTATTTCAAGCCCTTTATAGGTACAATGTAAAAAACTAAAAAAATATTTGGATGAAGAGTACTAGTGATTATCAAACTGACAAAGAACCTTAGCTTAGAGTATTCTAAGGTAACTACAAAATGTAGTACATCATGTACAAAATCTGCTTATTTTATACATGCATGCCATGAAACCAGCCACAAATGACTGCCCTTCTTTACAGATGTGCATACTTTAGTAGTTCATGAAACACCTAGATCAAACTAAACTATTTGATCCTGATTTAATTGGGGCTAATGAGTATTTCATTAGCATGTTGACATTGTAAATCAAGTTAAGAAACCAACAACACTGTTTTGTTGAGAACAAAGTCTTTAAGTTTGGCATTTGTAAATAAATTGCTAAATCAGTAGATGAAATGTTTAAGACTAAATGTTGAATGACAAACATAAAAGTATTCAGTCCCATTTGTAGTTTTGGGGAAGTGTGGTAGGTTTCCGAATAATATCAGCTAGTAAATAATGTCAAGCATAATATCCAGTGCCACTGTCTGACTTGATAGGTATTATAACTTGATTTTTTCAAGTACCTTGTGTTAAGTTTAGGGTAGGTGTAATGTAGACTATTTTGCAGGTAAAGGTATCATTCTGTTCTTTGTAATTTAGACTGACAGGTATACAATAGAGCTAATTGATATCCCTAAAAGTTGTTGGTGATACTGACATCCCACTATGGGGAAGTTCTTTTGACACCTGATAGGAGGGATAACACTTAATTAGTTGAAAGAACACTTATTACTATATTCTAGGTAAATACTGATCTGAATTCCAATAATGAATGTCAGTAGACTATATCATCATTTATACTTTCTGGAAGAACTTGCCTCATTATGTACTAGTACCTTTCAGATCAAAGCTGTCCAGTTTTTTGTTCATTTTATGACCCGAAATCACATTATTAATTGATCTGCCTATTCTATTTCTGTTTTTCAGAGGAAAAAAATACTATTTGTATATTCTAATGTCTAGTATGGCAGTACCTGTACATACATGTATGATTATGAGAGTCCTTGTTAATATATTCAGCTGAACCCTTTCATAACCTGGTCTTGAATAATGTACAAAGATGTTTGTAAACAGAGTCAAGCCTATCAGATATTGAAAGGACGGGTGAAGTATAGCCAAGCTTGAGCTATAGCCACACTCATTTATTATGATTAGTTAGCAGAATGAGATATGAGATGTTGAATGAACCAGAAATGTAGCTTACGTTATACCAGTATGGTGAGTCAATGCCAGTATGGATTGGATAGAATACAGAATTGTTCAATGGTCAAATGAATAATTTACTTGCCCTAATGTTCTGATTACTTACAGCAATTTAGAAATATTGCCATTTGTATTGTGAGTTACATCAGTGTGCTAAAACGGCAATTCATTGGAATTGAAGTGTTATAGACATTCAAATATCTGTAGAATTCCCAAGACAGTAAATCTGCCGTCACAGTGATGTATGGAGTTATCGTATATGGAATGAGATAGTTCATGTAGGTTTTGGAAATGTTTGAAAGCCTTTGTTTGCGGCCTTTTTGTAGAGAGATGGTAACATAAACCAGATGGCATGACAAATTTTTAGCCTGTAGGGGGTGTGGCAGGAAGATGTTCATGGCACCGATGATATATCAGTATAACCTATCATGTCGTCATCATTCTGTCAAGACAAAATCATAGAGGAATTTTGAAGAAAGGTGAAATGAGGTTCTTTGAACTTTTTTTTAAATTAGGAGACATGAAAGTTTCAACTGTTGTGTGTACCTGTCTGTTGAAATCAATTACCAGTCAGTAGATCAATATTTATTTCCATCACTGTTGTTTATGAACAATCTATCATTATTAACAGCAAGAGGGAATTTTGATAAACTAGTTACAAATGTTCAAGTTGAATGATATATCTTAATACTCATTTTACTGATCTGTACCATTTTGCTGATCTGTGCCTTGTAAGAAAATACATGTCTGACAGCATTCCATGTGTGGTTCTGTTGGCTGAAGGAGTCGGCAGTCATGATCTTTGGTTTATTCATCCAAATTCCAATGCTTGGTCTGACTTGAAAGGCTTAGTGGTGTCACCAAATGTGACTTTAACTGGTTAAACTCCTGTCTGTAACACAATAGGACTGAGTGGCCTAGATTGTTGTATAGAAATACCCACATCCTTTTAAAAGGTTGGCTTACACATATGTACTACAGTAGACATCTCAAACCCATGGACAGGTTGAAACTTAGCATTCAGTAATCTGATATATCTTTGATTCAAACAAATATAGTGTACTTTGGTAAATACTGAGGCTAGTTAACTGAGTAAGCATTAAGATCTTTGAAACAAGAAATTTAATGTACTGTGTCATGTGCAATTATAATAATATAAATGAATACCATTATCCACAAATTGGACCTAAGAATACTGTTGACATTGAGTCAAAATTCAAAGGAGGACTCTGCCAAAAGATGTTTTTATTGATTGATAAGTAATGGCAAATGTATTGGTACTTAGAAATATATTTTGGTACTTAGCATGTTTATTTTTGGTTTATTAGTTTACTCTATCAGGTAGTTTGACAGCAAGTAAGGCCAAATAATAACAGTAGTTAGGGAACTTAGACAGTGGTGACCACAAATATTTACCACAATACCAGTACACATGTACTCGTAACTATGAATACATCCTGCTGGGAATTCCAAATCTGTTCATTGGATATTATACTCCACATCAGGATCTACCTCAGCTGAATCCATGTGCCAGCAATGTTTGTCAGATATTGATTGTGCAGAGTGAAGGACAGGGTGTTACTGGTGCCAGGTCATTGTTGTTACAGTTAACATCTGTTGGTACATTTGTATGAACAGTCCCGGTTGTTTGACAGCAGCTCTCTTGATTTTCTGACGGAGCTTATACAAAGCATGCTTCAGAACGTTTGAACATACTCTGGGCTCTGGAGTCAATACTAACCACAAAGCTGGCTCGCGTGATACAATGGCTGTCTCCGGCTGAACTAGTCATTGAAAGCTGTATAAGCTTGGATTGCATCATGACTAGTACCAGTACTAGTGTGGGGAATTACCTTTAGCTGTTACAAATATGAACTTTATCTCTTAATTTAGACAATTCAAACACATTTCTCATGCAGGAAATTTTAAAAGGTCTACAGCCAGATTGTCTGTTTTTTGCACTCACACCTTTGATGCTGTTTCATGGAGTTTCATTTCAAAATTGGTGTATTGTAAAGATTGAGACAAATGTTATAATGTTTCTAATATGTGTGCAGCTCTGGGCAGGAGGTCCAGCGCATCAGTGTTGTGAACAGTCTCCCCCAGCTGATACAGGACAATGCACCTGAGGCCATGCGCAGGGTGGTTCCCAAAGTCAGGGTCAGTAACTGCAATTTTACATCTTTTGATTTCTATTAGTAATACATTGTTGTAACTCATGTCTGTGAAAGACCATCGTTATTGGTAAGTTTACAAGTGTTAGTTGTTGAAATGGTTGGCATCAGGACATGTAGGCTCTCTTTACATCCATAATAGACTGTAGAAACTGCAACATGTGTTCTCCTGACTGAACCCTCCCCACTGTTCACCCTGTAGGAAATGCTACACGTGGCCGGAGCGGACGTCCAGCTGGCTGCTACCATCTCCTTCCTGTCCATCCTGGAGCGAGAGGTCATCCCCATCTCCACCTACTCCTCCACCTTCCTCCAGACCATCATCATGAGCCTGGAGGTCAAGGACCCAGGTCAGCATGGGGGTGCACTACAGCATCAGGGCTTGATTTTTAATTTATTTTTCAAAAAATGAAGGACTGGAACTGGTGGTATTTTGAGCCCTGACTATGCTAGTACTAGTTGTAGATACATCTCCCATTGTGCATATACTACTCCACGGCTTGGAGACTTTGTTTCACTTTCAGAACTAATCCAGTTTAATAACTGTTACACATAAAGTCCTTCTATATGATTATCCAGAGTCTGGCTTGATGGAAACAATACTCCATACTATCAAGGTCATGAAGGACTCAATCTGAAGTTATATTAGTACCAATTGGGAAGTCCACCAGAGATTATGCAACTAAGTCACTGTCTTTTATACATGAAAGGTGAACATCCTACAGGACAAAAGTGAGACAAACTATTTTCTTTTGTTGTGTTTGTCACTGTACTTCTAACACAACAGGTGTCCCAGGATCCATGTCACAATACCTGCAAATGTCCCCATGCACGCTATTGGTACCAACACTTCTCCCAGGATTTAGGCCAGCTTTCTTTTAGGTTGGCTTAACTCAAGCTTGTGGTCTACCCTTCACTTAGTAGACTCACAATACCTTTTGACGTATGTTAGCCCCCTGGTCACATATCTCCTTTGAACATCTCCCCCTGCAGCTAACTAGGGATAATTTTGGACAATTGTTATGCAAATACCAGCATTTCTTCTGCCCTACAGTCATGGTGCTGTACCTGTTATCTAAGCAAGTCTCTGATCTCCAAATACTCAGCAGGAGACTAAAGGGATAAAGAGTTTCATGACATCAGAGATATCTTTACCTGCATACAGAAATAGGTTGAGTTTTTGTATACACAGGTTGTACTAGTAGACTACTGCAAACTGGAAGGACAAAAATTGTACAATTTTGTAACAATCAGTAACCTCAGTGGATGAAAATAGTTTTCTGTCACTGTGGTACCTGATTGTTGGGGTTTGGACGATCTCATTGGTATGGAAATAACTGGCTTTTCCAGTTAGGTTGTCCACAGATGCTAAATTTGGAAATAATGTGAGAACCTGTGATAAATATGTCTCCCCAAACAATGAAAAGTCATCCTACATTACACAGGAAAAATCCCTGATGAGATCTATTTTTAGTGAAGATAAGAGGTAAAGACTACCCGTGCTGTATAAGGAAATGTGTAATTAAGTGCGGTAACAGATGTGATTTACATAAATGGTGGATTATGGAAACAAAACTATGTTCTAATGAAAACTTTGTAATGTGGAGTAATCAAATACTGCTGGTAAATCCTACTTGATAGTCTTGCACATAGAAATCAAGATATGTAAACCTTCAATTCATGAAGTACAAACATGTTAGATGGCAAAGATTAGTTACCATGTATTGATGATAAGATGCCAACAAGGTCATATGTTGCCATGTAAAATAATTACTGTAGTGAACATCTTCATAGAAAAAGATCCATAATGCTTAATCTATATGTATTGCCTGTATTTTTGTCTCCACAGTGGTGTCCAATGCCTGGTTAGAGACATTACTGTCTGTGTGTGGCTGTCTCCCAAAAGATGTCATCAAAAGAGAGGTTAGTGAAAAAATAGTTTTACACAATTTTTTTTTCATGAGAAATATTATGTGATCCTAGAAGTAAATGGTTGAATGTGTGCAGAAAAGTACCTTGCATACTTAGAAGGGAACTGAAGTGAAATATCACCATCTTGTTCATCCACAGATTTTAGGTATTGCAGTTGCCAAAGGCCAGTTGTCCCAGTCTGTGCAGTCCAGACTGGCCAGCTGTAAGATTCTGGGCAGGGTAGCAACCAAGTTTGAACCATACATGTGAGTAACTAGACAGATTCTAGTCTATTAATGTAAAGCTTGTTTTTAGAAATCCATTATTACTGAGATTTACCGTGGATAAAGCATTTATCATGTAACAGACACCAACAGTTCAGGTATATCTAATGAATGAGTTGTCTCCATAATCATGAGAATATTATGATACGTTTTAATGTTTTTGTCATCAACCGTTTGCTGCCTTCTCCCCACAGAATCAAGAAAGAGATTCTTCCATTGGTCACAGCTCTTTGTCAAGATATAGACTATGAGGTGCGGGGGTGCATGTGTCGACTGTTGGACAGTGTAGCAAGAGCATTAGGGTGAGGAGGCTTTCAGTTCTTCCTCCATTTATGGGTTATTATTGCAGATTTGAACAGTTTTGATAGGACTGTCGTTGGTATTGCAACAGTCAAGATGATTTGCAGATGGTTTGCAGAAAGGGTAAAAGTAAAGAATTTGAACAATACAAGCATCTAAACCTGTGATGTTAACTTTCAATCTTCTGTAGGTTGGAAAATACCAAGAGTGCAATATTACCAGAGTTAGTGGAGCTGGCCAATGATGAGGAATGTTTTGTACGACATGCAGCGTTGGATGCTGTAGTCAATCTTCTCAATCTCCTGGACGATGGTGAGCCTCATCACTTGTCTTTTGTTTATGCCCACAACTAACTATTAATCCTTTCATGCTAACAAAAACATAAGTATAAACCAAGCTTTGGCACTGTTGCCTGTGTCTCATGGATGAAAGGAGAGTTATTATTGAGTAACACACTATGCTGAGGCTTATCTCACAATGCACAATGTACTTTTTGTAGGAAGTAGCATTTTAAGATTCTCCATTGCTTCACTTGTGAGGTAAAAAGAATTGAGCTGAACAGCACTAAAAGTCTCAAGCAGTTCTCTGTCTAGTTGTTTGTGTTACATAAAAGTCATCAAAGTCTGCTCTGTGTAGCAGTGTAGCGCTGCACTGCTCGTTATCCAGAGAATAACTGCTGATTCTACCAAAGTAAGCAAGCTACCACGTTTGTTGTATATTGTTACTGCATCAAAAGTTAATTTAACTTATAGAAAATATCTTTTCTTTATGTGTAGCATTCTTTTGCTTCAATTAGTTTTTTCAAAGTCATTGATAATTCCATCTGTGTGGTTGTCACATGTGGTTGTCACATATGTTTTAGGCCAATAAATATTGTCATTTTCTTTTGTTGAGTGGTACCATTAACTTTATTGTATGGAAGATTGACTTAAGTATGTGACAAAGGAAAGGTGAAGGTTCGGGCTGATTAATTTGGGGTAAATAAAAGGTTTGGCATTCAATGTAAAAGTAACCAGTATAATGATCTTTTGCCAACAATGGTTAAAAACAATGTGTTCATCACTGTAAATGTTGACCTTATCATGCGTTCTTTATATGATTGCTTTACCATTGTTTACCAGTATGTCATAGGGATGGAAAAGTGGGTAAAAATGTATGAACTTGTTCAAATGGATTCTACAAAGTTTTTTTTTTACTTTTTACAAAAGGAATACAAGATGTTTAATGTGAGCATTTTGCATTTTCAGTGGATATCATATATCTGGACCAGCTTGCAACCAAATACTCTTGTCCCATATTAGAACAATGTGTATCACTATACAATATGAAATATTGTATTATACATTTGTATTTTAACTACCTGAACCCATTCCACAAATTATCCATTCACACTTTTGATGCATAGACCTATTTTTGGTAAAAGATGATGGTAAGGTAAAACTGACTTTCAGTTGTCGTTAGATGTTAACCTCCTGTTTACTCCCCCTCCCCAGACACATGTACCCAGACCATCGTGCCATTGGTGTGTAAGTTCTGTGAGCGTTCCATGGAGGCAGATGACACGACCCTCCCCCATGTGGCGGAACAGTTCGGCCGCTTGTGCCATGGCCTCTCAGGTACAGCCTTGGCCTTTACTAGATGGCCCTGAGTAGCATTGTGAACCCTTCCATTTGTCTGTGACTGATGGCCACAATTGTACCTTTTCATGATGCTGGTGTATCAATTGAAAATGATGTATCAGAAGTTTGTATTGGAAGCAAAGTTGTTATTACTTACTTCACCTGTAGTTAACGTGGATGAACAGCAGCGGGCGTGGTTGTTGGAGTTCTACACACAGCTGTGTATCCAGGGGAGGATGAGAGATGCCCAGTCCCCCCCTCCCCCTCCCCGCACCCCCTCCAGTATCTGTGATGAGGACAGGTGTGCAGACTGTCGCAGGAACGCTGCTTACAACTTCCCTGTAAGTATGAGATAATTTCAATGTATGATCATTGGCTAAATGTCCTTACAAATAAATCACCGCTTGAAAAACTTACCAGTTTCTGCATATGTTATTAAGTAACACACCTTCTTAGGGTTGTGATATTTGGTTCTCTACAATATTGTTTTTCTATATACACATGTACTGTCTTTCACCTAGTACCACAAAGTACTGTTTGGAGGCTATTTTTACAGTTGTAGTTTGAATAAAGATTTTAATGTTTTTTTAATTCTTTAAATTATGTACCTGCAGTTCCTGGTATGATGTCTTGAATTTTTCTACCATCTAACCATCCTTCACAAATCATGGTGTTTCTCCCATCCAGGCTATGGTTTTATTTGCTGGGCCCAAGAACTTCAAGCATGAGCTGTACAACTGTTTTGTCAGTCTGTGTGAAGATCCACACTACATAGTTAGACGAACCATTGCTTGTGGATTTCATGAGGTGAGAGTTGCCTAATCAGGTATTTTGTATATGTGCTCGATTTTAAAGATTTTCCACCCTCCCATTGTATTCCTGATTTTGGACTGACTAGTGTTCTGGCTACAAGGTGTGGGAAAAAAGGATAAAACCGTCTTTAGGGTCTAGTTCACTCATCAAACTTGTCTTGCTTGAAGCAAAAGTCAACAGTAATAAGTTGGCATTAAACATATTTATCAACAACTTAAAGCATTTGAACTCACAGTAATGATGATGTATTCTCTTACAGGTGGCCAAGTTACTAGGTTCCCATGTCCAATTAATCCAGCAGGAGTTGGTCACATTACTCAATGATAATTATGTACAGGTAAGGTCTCACTCTTAGAGCAGTAGTGGTCCTTGTATACATAGACATTTAGTTATGTCTTAATATGCTTAGATAGATTTGACATGTCTTTTATCCCAAATTATAAATACATGTACTGAGATATCATGTTGGCTTTCTGTGTTGATTCCTCCTATTAAGTCTTTGTGAAGAAATTCTTGCCTAACTGACATGGCTTGCATTCCTGTGTAGGTCTTAGAAGGGATAGTTCCACATCTTCCGGAGACTTTAGAGAGCTTAGTAAAAGGTGTTGGAGGTGGGCTGTCAGAAGCCAGGGTAAGTACTGTGATCTTGCTTATTTCTGTTACCACTTTGCAAGAATAGATAATACACCTCAACATAGTAATATTTTGATAAGTAGCTTCACATAAAAGCTTTGACCAGCTAAGAGTGGTGTCAAAGTCTGTGTTAGTCCCTCTCATAGGCAGTTTTGTTTCTGTACTGTAGGATTGATATGTTGGTAATTTGCTGGGTATGGTATCTTGTACACTTGACACATGGCCATGTTTGTCACCCCTCTAGACAATGCTGTACTCCACCAACCGGCACCAGGTTGGTCCTGATCACTTGATCCTGTGTGCAACTAACCTTCCCTGTACACACCAACACCTCTTGTAGTGTAGATGTCTGGATTCTCTTTACACTGTGGAAGTATATAATCAATGGGTAACTTTCATTTTGGTAGTTGGTTGGAAAATGTACCAACCAGCTCCTGTTTGGAAACAGCTGTCCCTAGAGTAGAGTTTGACTACACAGTATTGATAACTGTGGTGTAGATGCTGTACATCTGATTATAAGGAGATTGGCATTTCAATAAAAACCCTTTTATCCTTTCATGTATGCTCAGAGTCATCCAATACCAAAGCTATCAATGTCAAACTGTATATTGTAATTGTTGAAATTGTAGCATTATCTTTAATGTACTAAATGAGTGGTTACAATTGTATCCTGAAGTCAGCCAAAACTAGTCCACCAGGATGTGTTTCTAACAAGGGCTGCTAGCACGTCTGCCTATCTGCACAGTAGGATTAGAAATAGTTGAGCCATAGTAATCAAGAACAACATAACATCATCCAGCAGCTATTTGCTTTCTATTGACAACCTTGCTGTACTAACAGCTTTCTGTCAGTAGATTTTGTAGAAGTAAACAGTGCTATGGGCAAGGAGCCTGAAGTGACAAATATTTGCAACTTAGTGGATTATCACTTAGTGTACCAATTGTGAAAATCCACCATCAACTATCAAAGGAAAAAACGAAATAGAACAACAGTTCATTTGATAAAATAGTAAAAAAAGTGGCCCATACAGTGCAATTTTTTATTGAATAAGAACAAATTAACAAAATACTTTCTAAAATGGTTTGTGTGCTCCAGCCCCAGAGCTGACACTGTACCCTTTGTCTCCACAGATCAGTAACCATGCAGACCTGGTGCAGGCGTTGTTGACATGTGAGTACCTGGTGGCAGCCTGTAGTCAGTGGAGACTACACCTGACCATGATGCAGCGCCTGGCCTGTGTCGTCCGAGTCTTCACCAGTGACCAGATCTACAGCAAGTTTGTGCCAGTCCTGTTCCAGAGACTAACCCTCGCAGTAAGTTAGTCTGTAGTTATCTTGCTCAAATAGCATTGATGGTTAGCAGCCCTCCTTCTAAAGGGTCAAGAGTTTACCATCCAGTTGTTAGTAACACCACTATAATGGTACTTGACAGGGTTGCAGCCTTTGGTACATTTGTAGGAAATGTTATGTCATGATTCAATGTTGTTTACAACTTGCAAAAATGCTAAGGGACTTGTCCTGGTGCATCAAGCTCCTGTCCTTGTTAGAACAAGCCTGTGGGAAAATAGTTTTTCATTAACCTGTAACTTAAACATTTTCAGTTTCTCATTCGATGCTGTTTATTGGATTCAAGCAGTTAATGCTTGTATAGTCTTTTATCAGTTGCTATGTGATTTGTTTTGATTGGTGGTCATGTCCTTGTACAGAGAGTACTTCCAGTGAAGCAGGCTGCCGGACGGACGTTATGTGTGATCATCAGACACAACCGCAGACAGGAGCACAGACAGGAGCTCATCTGTCGACTTATAGAAGGTGAAAAACTTCAACATCCTCGCCTAAAAGCTGTCAATAGAATATACAATAGGTTGAATTGAGGCTGCCCAGCATGCATGAGTTTTGGTTTTGTATGTATAATTTTAAGGGTACCACAATGTAGATAGTAAACCCCTGCATGCCATTCATGTAATATTTTAGTATTGTCAAAGTTGATGTATTATTTTAAATAAGTATTTCACTCCTTTGTATGGTAGCTTAGCATTTTTCGTCTACGAAGGAAAGCACATTTAGTGTAACACACTATAGAAATTAATCTGTCTGCAACAAATAAGATTTGTGGCTCATGTATGTTGAAAGCAACATTCCCCTGTACACGATATTGTGTGGAACACTTGGTGGCAGTTAAGTTTTCCTTCCATATCAATTTCAATGTTGTAGCTTCCCCAGCACTTTAATGTATGACTTTTCTGGACTGGTGGTGATGTCCTCACAGTCCATTTTGTGTGGTGCTGTTCCCAACACTCTATAGGCGTTTTATTTGTTACTGGTGCTTTTGCTTCATGACCTCTTTCTCTCCCTCCCCAGTGTCCCCATAGACATAGTAAGGTACTCCAGGCAAGTACTTTCATAGCAATATATCCACAGCATGTTTGGTCTTTCCTGTACCTGCTCTGCATGAGTAAAGAATATCGACCATGGCAATATGGAAACTCCTGCATCCTTTCAGTCCCTGGACTTCCCTGGCTTATGCTAACAATGTGTACAGTCTTTCCAGTCAGTGTAAAATTGCTGAATCTTCATGGACAACAAATATCAAGGATTGCAGAATGATGCTAGTTTTTCATTCCCTTCCAGTGCTGCTATATATTAATGTATGCATGTTTGGTTGGAGCTCTGTTAGCCAATGTCCAACTACAGTATATTCTGTACATGTATGTTCCCAGCCAATGTCCAACTACAGTATATTCTGTATGTTCTCACACCACCATGACTGTGACTGTTTGTTCCCTACTAGCCCTGTGTCACGCCAACAAGTACCAGCTCAGGATGCTGTTTGTGGATGTGTGCTGTGATGTTATGGAACTCTTCTCAAGAAGATTCTTTAAAGAGTACTTCTTTGAGTTTGTACTGAACCTTGCCCATGACCCTGTGGCAAATGTCAGGTGGGTTCTGCATTACTAACATTTCCAATCACACATGGCTCAGAATTTAGGATAGATTTATAATGATATCAACTCTTAGATAATGTCACCCTCTATAGAAGCTGTAATATATCAAAATCTGTGCATGGTACATGTTTTCCAGGTTGAAGCTGTGTTCACTGCTGCCTCGGCTGAAGACACAGATCAAGTTACCCGGGGACAGACAGCTCCTGCAGCAGTTGGAACACTGTGTGCGGAGACTGCTGTCCCACGAGAGGGACAGAGACGTTGCTGCTGCTATTAGGAAGGTCAGGCTGGACATTTGAGATCATGAGGCTTTCTTATTAGGTCAACATTAGGACAACAATTGTCCAAATCTTTTTACTTGCTGTGTTTCTTACAAACTTATGTATGTTTCCTTTACAGTCTGTCTTTGAGCTGGACAAGATTCAAGTTGCCATGGAAACTGTAAGTTATTCCTCTTAAACTTTGTTGTTCTTTGCCAAGTAATTGATAACCTTGACCTAGTCATTGCATATAGTAAGATGAAACTGTCAATTATCTAGAACAATATTCTAGATCTACTGATGTGCTTGTCCATACAACAGTAGTTTTGTGGGAAGACCGTGTTATAAATCTTTTTTGCCCAGTTAACACAGAGGATGTTTATGGAGGAAGACTTGATGGACCAGAAAAAGGAGGAAGAGGAGAAAATGTTGTTAGAGCTGGTGAGTGTGTCATTCTACAGTTCCTGCTCTAATTACAACTTTACAGTAAGTTTTATAGTCATTTTTTCAAATGTTAAATGTTACTACATGTATATGTGTTCACAAGATGTCACTAAATATAGATATACTGATCTCTGCCAACAGGAGGAAAGGGAGAAGAAAGAGCATGAGCAAACGAAGGGCAAATACACAGAGAAGGGGAAAGGCAAGGGGTCCAAGGGTCAAGGCAGGAGAGGTACAGTCACTGCTGTGTTGTTCATTAGCTGACTCTTATCCAAATTTGTAGCCATATCGTTTATCTACATGTGGTATAAAGTTTTACAGTGGCTGAGTGATGATGGCTCTGTTCATGTGTCTGGAGATGGAGGGTCTCTACATAAAGAGTAGTTCAAGATACGTTATCAGACTGAGACACATGATAAACATGTGGATTTTTATTTCATTCAGGCTTTTCTACCTGTTCTCTCATGCTCAGTAAGTTGTTACTAAACTTGTATGCTATACTAGTTTGGCATACCTATATGGTGCACACAACCCATACCGGTGTGAGGCATTTCTGTTTCTGATAAAAAGCAGGCTTCAGGTTGAGTATGTAACCCTGGTGTGGTAAATTTGCATGTTCAACATGGAGTCATGGGTATTGGTGCATGTTTATTTAACAAACAGGTGGGGACAAATCCAAAGAAGCAAAGGCTGCAGCTGCAAAAGATGCATCCCCAACCATGCCACGTAGCAACAGCCTTTCACATGTCTCCTCAAGTAATAACCTGTCTCCAGGCCAGAGAGGTACAATCATGGCTGGTTAGGGGCAGTTACCTCACCCTACATGACACACGTAGACCTGGCCAAGTCTTACTGTGATAACCCTATAAGTCCTAACTCCATCCTAATCTGCCTGATCATCCTAATCCTGAACCCATCTTGTACATGCACCGTATTTACCATTACATCTTCTCCCTCCATATCACAGACATCATAATTTTCAAGGTGCCATGCATGACAGAGTGTAGACTTGTGACAATCATGTTGGTACAAAGGCAGAGTCTGTGCCCTGTGTCAGTGTGTGGTGAGGTAGCTGTCCCTCCCCAGACTGTGACTATGCCTTGTGGTGTTGGTTTACCAGCTTAACTAACTTGTTGGCGTTTAAGTGACAAGGACAATAAATTTCTACTAATGTAACTTGTAAGATAGTCATCAGTGTCATTGTGATATACCGAGTCCTGTGTATTGGGAGAGTGGATGGGAGAGAGGTTGCAGGAATGCATGTATGTTCTGTACCTGTGTTTGCCTCGGCTAATGGTCATTAGCAGTTTAGGCTTATTTAGTCTAAAAAAATCTCTGCAGTGAAGCAGTTTCATTCATTGTTGGGAACTGAACTAAGTCAGTCGCAGTGATTATTGATTGGGCATTTCTAGCAGTAATAGTGTGATTTTGACAACAGAATTCTAACACATGTAAATCAAACTTGCTGTTGTAATAGGAGCCCACAATAGAGGTCATCGAACGTCAGTAAGCAAGACCAACTCCAGTGAGATGCCATCTGCCTCCCCCAAGCTTAGTAAACACTCCTTACACTCTGGCTCCAGTGAAAACATGACCAGCCCAGGACTAACCAGGTGAGAGATTTCAGGCTAGCTTTGACTGCCTGCTTCTGTAAGGGTACATTCTGTGGCTGAAACAGTCACTTTTGAGCAAAACAATGAAGGATAATTAGATTGGTGGTATTTGTTAAGACTAAAGAGTAGCAAAGACTCAGCAACAGTGTGTGAAAGCTTTTGAAACTATTTACATATATTGCACATTCTGGATTAAAGGGCTGTACTGCAAGAAATAAATCTTGGTTCCACAGAAGTGGATGTCTTGATGCAGCACAAGTTGACATCCAAGGCTTTCACACACTGCTGGTGTACTTTGACATGTAGATGTCATTCCAACAGCTAACCTGAAGTCTAACATGAGCTTGTGTGTGTGTGTGACCCTAACCTGACTCCCTCACTGTTCCCCCGTTACGTGTGCAGGATAGTTTCACCACACAGGATAGTTCCATCTGTCCACGACAAAAAGAACAGGTTTGTACAGTCCCAGTGCTCCCTGCACTCATCATACATGGTTACATCCCGGTGGCTGGAACCTGGGAGCAGATGGGGCATAGCAAATAACATGACTGTAGTAGTAATAAGGAATGTTTTATGTTACATATAAGTGCATGCAGGAAGACCAGGAAAGAGCTTAATTTCACTGAGTAGCAGCAACTTTCCTTTGGCTATCCCATCTACTGGTACAAATTATGGTATTTTCTACCTGTACAGTACCATATGTAGTTGGAATAGTAAGGATGTAGTGGCTAGGATTTATGTAGAAATGCTCTGCATGCAGGAGAAAAAGCCAAAGCATCCAGCAAAGACGAACATTGGCTAAAGTCTGCTACACTACATGTCAATGGCTCAGATTCCCTAGATAGTAGTGAATTTGATTTTGAATTGATCTTTTCAATCTATCCTGCAGAAAATACTCCCTGGGAAGCAAGGAAGACCGAATAAAAAGGACCTCTAGCAACAGTCCTGTAGCAGGTCAGTTTTTTTTATATTATACATGTATTTAGATGCTTTAGGATTGGAAGTTGTAGGACAATATTGATCAAAACAATAAACTTTAAAAGATGTTATTTCTGAATTAAGATTTCTATTTTGGGAAGTTCCTGTGTTACATAACTATTGAATGACAAGGCTTCTTTTAAGCCAATGACATTTTAATTTCAGGAGTTTCAACTTCTCATAGCAAGAAATCGTCACTCAAAAAGAGTAGCCACAGCCTGACTAACCTGGCAGCCAACTCTTCTGGCCATGGGTCACCCAAGGGTGGCTCAACCCCAACTCACACAAGGTATGAGATGGGATACTCGATACTTATCCTGTGGTAGGCTTGTATTATTAATAAATTAAAAGGTTCACTGAAGAGTATGTCTGTTGAGATGGAGCATGCAAGAAAGGGTCTACAAAGAGTGGAAGATGACCATGTGTCCCTTGATTCTGACTGTACACAGAAAAAAGAGTCTGAATGGTAATCTAAGATGAGTGTACAGCAAGCTTGACAAAGTCATATGAACTATCAGACAGATATACCCACTTTCTGCACTTATGGGTTTTTGTATCTTACAGAAAAGGGTTGGTTACTGAATGTTTTGAAAGGAATGAAGATGTCAGGTGTTGTTATTTGTTGAAAGAATGATAAAAGACAGACCATGTTGTTGGTTATTAATGACATTGTCTCTTTTTCCAACAGGAAGAAATCCCAAGCCAGATAGGACCATGATGCAGTGATGGGAGTTCCTGTGTTGTGTTGTGTACATACTCTGTACTTCTATGAGGACATGCTAAATGTGCAGTACTTTACAGCAGGACAGATAACATCTTACAGCATACTGAAAAATCAAGCTGCAACAAGTTTGATTTTGAAATGCAAATGTTGCATATTGAGTTTTTAGGAATGAATGTGATCAACAGCTTTCCTCTGACTAAAAAAGTATATTATCATGTCATAGACAAAAGACTTGAACATTAGATCATCTTCTATAAAATACATGTAAAATTAGGTCTGAAGAAGGCTGTTAATCACACGTGGTGATTTGATTGTCTAAAAGATTTTCTCATGATTAAGACACTTGGTTGAGATTTTACACTTCACACTGTGTCCTCATCTGTAAATTAAGTACATTGCTATAGAAAAGTGTGTTCAAAGTGCTTGTGTTTCAGATGTTGCTTTTAGGTCAAGTTAATGCTTGAAACATCTTTTAATGTTCTGCCAAGACTTAGATTCCCCTCCATCTTGTTGAAACTCAGTTGGACCATGCAGTATTGCTAAGATTACCATCACTTTGTTACTTGCCAAATGTCTAACTTACTTCTTGGTTTCAATATGTACATAAAGTGATAAAAATTCCCTCCAATATTAAAAATTGAAGCCATTATCATAATGTTTCACACCTGCCACATCTGCCATAGACTGCTGGTGCCACAGAAAGAAAAACTATTAATAACATTATTTACAATGTCTGGGAGAGTTCCAAATTCACACTGGTACTGGTACACTTCTCAATTAACTGAAGATTGTGATGATATTGCTACGATTGTGTGACATCTCTAGGGTACTGCATGGTTCAAGTGTTGTTGTTTTTATTTCAAAGAGATGGAGTCAGATTGGCGCTGTTGTACTTCTCTGTAGGTTGTCAGCATTTTTAATAAGACTTACTCACATGGATAAAGCCACTTCTCACAAAGGTTTACCTCACAAACAACATGAGATTTAAGAGTAACATACCAGCCTGTTAGTAAAGCTCTTAATCAACAACAGGAGATGCCATCAGCTGTTAAACATAATGATATGATCAGTATGTATAAAGTTGCAAGAAAGGTTAAAATTGGCTTTGGAAGCCAGAATTTTCGTATCAATGCTGAAACATCGAAAGTGTATTTTTCATTTTGACAAGCCTTTTTTTCTGTCAGATACTTATTTTTAAAAGCAATTTTGGTCTAAAAAAATGTAATAATTCTTGAAATTAACAAATGTAAAGCTACATGTAGTAGTAAACAGTCAGAGCTTCGTCAAGGAGTGGACTAGTTAGTATATTGCCACAACTTATTTTTATCTAAATGGTATCTTAATGGTGGCCACAGAATGGTGATAATTTTTCGATGATAATGACTTCTCCAAAGCTGAGATTCAATATTCAATGTTACTTGAGGAGAGATTGCCACAGCTGGAAAGAGAATTCTAGTCTAGAGAAATGTTGTATGATAATGTTTGTTTGCAAATGGTTTCTAGTTCCCTCATTGTGATGGGATAGTCATGTGTTGTTGTACATGTATGTACATTTTTTGTAGAAAGGTGATTACTTAACTGCAAAGTGTTTGTCTCTAACAAGGTAGATTGCAGTCATTGTACTTTAGTGCCAATGATAACCAGCCACTGTACAAGTTGAAACTGCCCTTCTTGCTGCCATAGAAAACATGTTAGGTGATACACATTGTATGTACATTTATATACATTATCGCTTGAAGATGGTACACATAGTTGGTGTAGCTGCCTGGTGAGCACTTGCCCATAGGTTTTTCTTTTTGGTAAGTAAGTGCAATATAGATGGATGGTTTGCCATTTGGACTAGCAGCCACCTGTTACAAGCTGAATGAACTCCCTCCATCTGCAGTTTAACCCAATGGGAAGAAATTGAGGTTGATTGGTTTTGAGATAGTTTGCCCCCCTTTTACAATGTTTTTTGTCTACTAAAACATCCACACTTCACTGGAGTAACATGTCTAATACCGAGAATTGCAATCGTGCAATTGATACCTGTTGAGGGGGCATGTGTGCAACCAGTGTGGAATGAACCATCTTTGATAATATGGTTCTCCGGTTACCATCCAAGTTGTGTAGGGACACACAGTCATGTATTGGGCAATCCTGTGGAGGAAGCTTAAAATATGCCTGGGCTGATATAGGTTAGATGTTTGTCATGTACAGATGAAAAGAAAGAAAAATTTAACTTGATGCTGCAAAACAAAAATAGAGTGAAAAAGCATGTGTATATCTTTTCCATTGCTGCCACTGGGGTGTAGACAGATTGTATGTATTGATGCTGCATGAATCGTTACTGCTTTGCACAGATGTTAGTTATGGGTTTTGTAATAAAGCAAAGATATAGACTAACTTACTGTTTTCTGTCTTACTATGCAAGGTGGCTCAACTACTGGTATTATAAAAGTGAAAGAAAAAACACTTTGTGAAGATGGCAAAGCCCAAAGGAGTAATAGTCTATCAGATCTTATGGCAGATTGAATAGATAGTAGAAATTGGCTAAGATGTAATATTTTGTCTGAGGACTTGGCTGGTCTCTAGAATACATATCTGTAGTCCTATTTTGACCAATGTCTACCATGTGACCTGTGTGCTAAATGAAGGTGGACCATGATGGTGACATCACGGCGATCACTTGTACACAGACAAAAGAAAGAGCCTACACCACCAAGGATATTGGAATGCTGTGCATCTTTATGAAGATATACTCAGCTTTGCTGATGCAATGTTTACACAGAACGATACACACTGTTTTTTTATGTAGCTAGCAGGTCTTCAAGTGACCACTTCTTCATGGCCACATTTCAAATGCAGGATGGAACAGCTTTACACCTGCTTGTTCTTTTAGTAAGTTACATGTACATTTCATTTTGTCAGTGGGATTAGAGACCTGGCCACTTGGTCCTGAAAACCTACTAGTTACTCTCACTCACTGACCATGGGAATTCTCAGGTGACAATATGTACATCCAACACACATGCCTTTGTGAAAAGATAATGTACCACACAGGTTTTATCAATTTTTTTCTACACTCTACCTCCTGAAGTACACACATCAGCTTTTCTTGTGCACTAATCAAGCAATACAAGTACAAAAAGATACACACAATATCAGACAGTGTCACTAACACGATAACAACACAAAAAGGCTCAATATATGTCTGAAAAGCTCTACATTCTTAGTACATTCTTAATACTGTATCCACAATATAGATTAACTACAAGCATCACAGGACAAAATAAATAAGTACATTCTTGGAAATTCAAATGTACAGCAAATTATGACCTCCAATTAGACTCAAGCTTATTCTACTGTAACTTATCTTATGTTCCTAGACAGCTCAGATACTGTCCAAGAATCAGCCTCCTGCACGACAGGTTATACCTGTGCATATCAAATTAGCACATGGATAAAGGAATGGATTGAAATGTGTATCGTTCCCCAACTCTATAGGATTGGTAAGACATGCCTTCAGCAGTCTATTTACAACAATTCAAGGTAAGCAAATAGAATGCCACAAAAACTATGTACATCTTGATAAAAACATCCTACTGGATATATTATAATGCATAAAGTTTATGCCTAAAGGTACATGGACACGCTGTAATTCACCACTTGACATGTCAGCCTTGCCTGCTAGGTCACAAGGACCTAAAAGATCATGATATCAGACAATATTTACTTTTCTGAATGGTGTTCCTGTACATCCTGAAGACCATCCCTGTTGGAAGATATTACAAATATACTTCAGTCGTTCATCCATGCTGTCTTGTCGTTTCCCATTGATCTGACAAGTGCAATGCCATTCTCTTTTCAACAGAAATTCCATAAATACATGTACTCCTAAATATAACCTACATGCACAACATAATCCTATGTCACTAAAAGTAGCATTTTCTATGAAGAGTTTGGTCCATGGCAAAGTTATCAGCCTGTATCTGCTCTACATGGTATTATGTACGAAAGAATGATACTGAATTTCACTGGATGAACTGCATACATAGCATTACATTGTTGACATCTTAATTTTTTCATGCAAACTATCAACACACATCATCTTAGATATAGTTACATGTTTCCATGCCTATGTACAATTGTTTACTAATATCACATACAAATCATGTAAATGCTTGACACAGTCCATTTGATTAACACTTGCGTATCTTTAATCTCATGTTTGGATCTAAAATTACCTTGACCACACAGTACTATACATCAACCACATTATCTCCATTTGTGTGCTGCCTACAAATGTGTGTCACAAATGTCACTTCCAAATACCTGATCAGACTTTATATACCAAGAAAACTGACCATGCCATTATTACAGTTTTAGTTTGTTCTCTGATAGATTCAATGCTTTAGCTGCCTAGTCTTCTCAACTCCTTCCTGGTTTTACATGACTTCCAGTACAAAAATAGTTTCTAATCCTCAAAAATATGTTTGTCTTATTGCCTTGTTTCAATTTTGCCATGATAAATCATAAGTCATCCAGATCACTTTCATATTTCCAACCTCTCTCAAACTTACCCTAGTGTTTTCGGACTAGCCTATAATACCTTGTGGGTGCTGGAGATTAATGATGTGCTATTACTTTGAATATACAAAGATCAGGTTATCCCTGCCATCATCTGGTTATGTTCTTTGCATGCAGATTGAGTTTTCATGTCACAACTGAACAGACTGCTATCTATTGAAAGCTTTCTTTACTTCTGATAGTAGCCTATATTAGATAAAATGCAAACCAAGAGAGTATTATCTACCGGTACATTTATAACTGACTTCTTTTGATATTGTTAGGTTCAAAGTCTTTTGCAAAATATCTTACATCTTATTGAAAACATGAATTAATAACAACTTCAAAGTACAACATGCTTCAAACAAAGGGACTTAAGTTGGGAGTTGGTATCCATGAAAGCAACACTGAGCTGCTTATATGAAAACTCCTGTCTGGAAACAGCAAGCCAAGAGATACCATAACACACACATTTTCACATTGATGAACTCTTGTCAGTCTAAATAGTGCACAACAGGATGAAATCTATTGTGCCTGTCAGTAGTTCTTGCAGACAGGCCTGTATATTTCAGGTATCCTGTTGTAATATTGCACATCCCACAATTTGAATGATGATTTCATTGCTTTATATAAAACTGTCTGAAAAAGAACATACATGTAGTTATCATTCAAGTATCTTTCAGGGGAGCTACGTATAAATCAATTGAAACATTACAGGACAGTGGAGACCATATTTTTTAAATCTCTTACCAGCTTCCTGAACAATGATACTTTTTCTACTATTGAATACTTTGTGTGTCTTTGACCTGAAGAAGCACAGATACTCTATGCGACATCCACTCTCATAGGAATGATCCCACTGACTGTCAGGATCTTGCCATGCTTGGACCTCAGGTGTCTCTTGTAGGTGTTTCTAGTCTTGAATCTGCGTGGACAGTCGCAGCAGGCGAACGGGGACTCGCCTGTGTGTCGGCGCAAATGTTCCTGCAACAGACATACAGGTGTAGTCTGAATCGCCAGGGATGGCTACCAGTACATTCAATCTAACAACTCACAAATCTCCATGAAAAGTGTACAAATTACACACACTTGTTGATTGTTGTTAATCATTAATAGACATATTTGTCAATGTACAATCAATCACTGCATGTCTCCATTATAGTGCACTGCACACCTATATCTTTGTAGTAGATGACTTGCAAAAGAATTCTTACCTTGAAGTGGCTAGGGTGGCGAAACTTGCGGCCACAGTGTTCACAGGTGAAGCGACTCTGGTTGTTGTGCATCATCATGTGGTAGTTCAAACTGTGCAGGCGGGTAAATGTGGCCTTGCAAAGTTTGCAACTGTAGGGCTTAATGCCTGGGAGAAGAGTGTATATTACCAAATTAGATAACTTGTTTCAAAGTGATATGGATAAATTGCATATAATTCTAACCGAGAACAAACTTGCACTTTTAGAATAAGAAACATGTACTTGTACAAAAACAATTACTGAACTTCATAAATTTAAAAGTGCCCTACCTGCATGGCTCCTGAGGTGGCTGATGAGGGTGGCAGAGGCTGTGTAATGCTTCCCACAGATGTCACAGAGGAAGGGTACAAACACATCCTCTGGACGAGGCAACTTTTTCCTCTTGAGTTGATTCAACAAGTCTAAGGCCTTTTGCTGCAGCATACATGTATAGGAGTCAATAAATGTTTTGTGGATTCTTAACTCAACTCTGATATTCATTCCCTTATCATTACTTTTCTTAGTGTATAGCAATATTGTGTCTAAATCATGATTGAAGTCAAGCTGCATATCTCAATATTAAGCACATGGTATAATGTGACAAAACTGAACAAAGTGTACTCTACTGTAAAATGTACATGTGAATCATTTCATACCCTGGTTTTCTTCTGCTCTGGATCCTCTCCTGCCTCTTGATTATTTGGCAACTTAGCTTTGGAGACAGCCGCCTTCTTCACACCTTTCTTGAGCTGACCTCTGGCTCCTGGTTTCCGTGGTGATGGTTGCTTCCCCACCAGAGCATCTCCCTCCAGGATAACTCCATACACATAAGGGTTTGGCTTCATATCTACTTCTGCCTCTTCCTCTGTATCAGACCCCTCCTCTTCACCTTCTCCATTCACTTCTGCACTCTGCTGTACAGCCAGCTGAGACAGCAGCTTCAGGTTTGCATTGCCGTCCAATGTTGTTGGTGTTCCTCCAGCTGTTGTGGTGGTGGTGGTGGTGGTCTGGTTTGATGTAGCCCCAGACGGGCTGGTGTAGTTATGGTCGTGATGTGGCTGCAGCTTGCTGGACCTGGTGGTCATGCTCCCTCTGTTAGCCATACTCTCCAGAATCTTAGCTGCTCGCTTGGACGGAGACTTGACAGGTGACCTCTTGGCAGATCTCTCCTGAGCGTGCAGAGGGGTCTGTGGTAGTGAACTGCCTTGTTCAATGATATTGGAGGTAGGGATCTCCCCATCAGTCAAAATGTTGTTGAATGTTTGTTTGCGGTTCCTCCTTAGGATGTTGGGAACATGTTTTTGTGGTGACTTTCCTTCTGCCATACCTGCAGAAATGGTGGGGTCCTCCTGTTTAATGAGAGGAGACAGGGGGATGAGCTGCCCCTTGGGGACCAGTAGGATTTCTTCAGAGTCCTGAGTTGTTTTGATCATGGTGAAGCTGGAGTGGTTCAGGAGCTGGGGGTCAGGCAGCGTCAAGTTGTCTACCACAGTTGGAACTGGAACCATGCATGTACTGTGCTCGATCTCAACTGTCCCTGCAAAACATCACAGTCCTCATATTACCATAGAAGCTACAATCATCTGCTATTGGGACAACAATGCAAACAGTAATTATGTTGATGCCACAGTTTAACATTTACATAGAAACAGACTTTACAATGACACTGCATAATAGATAATATTACCATCAGCTGGGGTAGCTTCAGGCTTCATGTCTGCAGACTGCTGTCTGGCCAATGCAGTGCCTGATCTTGTTCTCTTAGCTGTGGGAACATAACTCTCATCTGCCTCTGTGGAAGAGAAAGGATGTGAAATGAGTAAAAGCAAGATGTTTGTAAAAAAAGAAATGTAGAAATGTGCTATAGAAATAAGTGAATGAATCCTGAATGTATCTCAAGAAAGTACAATAATAATATTTTCCAATCTTGGCTGAAGTGGAAGTTCACTGACTAAGTAAACAAAATCTACATAGAAAAAGAGAGATATACCCTCAGCTTTTTTCTTCCGGTAGATAGAACTACCAACTGGATGAAAAGTCATCTTCTTCACTTTTTCTGGTTCTGCAATGACAAAATTGCTTATTGATCAATACTACATGAGGGCTCACTTCTACCAGCAAAACAGAAACATACTTATGCAAACATGGAATACACAAACACATTCAGTGAGCCAATTATACATTTCAGACTTGATTGATGTAAGAAGAATATGACTAGGTAGGAAAGAAAAAATGACCACATATTCCTATGTCTTACCATTAGCACACTCCTGCAACAGTTCACCAACATGACTCAGGAGGTGTCTCTTGATCTGACCCCGCCCATCATTAGAGCCATCATCCTCGAATGCTGCCTGGCACCGAGACGGGATCAGCTGACAGGAGTAGATGTGCCGCACCGTGTTGGTGCGACAGGAAACTTCCTGGGCAAACTGGGCAAAGCGCTTGACCAGTGAGAACTCAGACATCTTCCTGAGCTGGTCTAAGGTCACCCCTTCTGCCTCACTCTTGCTCTGCCTTTTGCGGGCTGCTGCCTCTTTGATCTAAGGAGGTACAGACAACAACACATCTTTTAATATTTTGATAATTTACTTACTTAGTATCACACAGGTGTTCTACCGTCTACGCACAAGCTCTTATCCTAATCTACAAATCTTTACAGCAGTCTCAAAATTATGAAAATAATATGTACCTGAAATTCTATGAGCCTTATGAAACAATACTATTGATCACTTACAGAGGCTTTGGTCTTGGCCTCTCTCTCATGAGTCTTCCCCTTAGCTGGTTCCTGGTGCCCTGACTTCCCCGGGATCATGGGGGCAGCTGGAGAGGAACCTGCTTGCTCCTTCACTACTGGAGAAAACATGTGATATAGTAACATTGAAATGGACAAAAAAACTAAAGATAAAATTCTTCAATTTTATCCGGCAAATTTTGATTGACAAAGGTGTCATTTGCATTTCAATGATTTCTAAATCATTAATATTTCACATTGTGTTATACTCCATGGTTATGAGGTGATATCACTCAGCTACAAAATTAAATGGAAAATACATTTGATGTCTGTTAATTCACTATTATCATGCCGTATGCATATTGAAAGATTTATAGTTACTAGTATTCCATGACGGCTTGTCAGCACTTGAAGTTGAATATCATGTATCAGACTCATAGGAAAACTAACAACAATCGACAAAAATCTTAAGTTAGCTTAATTATACATGTATACCCTGATATGAGGAGAGATGAGGACTACTAAAGTACAAGTACAAGTACAAGTAAGTAGATATATATACACAAGAATTTATAACATAATGAGTAAGTAGCGAGTAATCCTTAAACGCGCAAGCGGACACTGCTCTGTTCACCGCTGTCAACAAGAATTATCATGCTTCCTTTCGCGCGAATTTTACGTCTGCTACAAAATATGCAACAAAAAACGGCGACAATTCTGTTTTAGCAGTACTATCATATACAACAGAGCAAGTAAACAATGTCAACTTATGTTCTAAAGCATCATGTGTTACCTCGTCTGGGGCAATGGTGAAGATGACATTTAAAATATTCTTAAAGCTGTGATAAGTCCGCGCCATTTGGAAGCAAAGCAAAGAAACATGATTTTCAAAATGGCGGTTTCACCAACCTGACGGAGTGCAGAACCGGGAAGGAATAAAATCGTTAAAAAAATGACTAATCGTCCACTGTGATCAAAGCCATTCACGTCTTCAGTAAAGACGCACTATGTAAAATTCTGAACGGCTAACAAGTAAGTTTTAGGGGGAAATCGTCGCCTTGGTGGACTTTCCCGCTCACAACAAATCAGCGGGGCCTCAACGCTAGCAGCCGACATGAAAACAAGTCAAGTCTATGGTAAACTCGGTCCAGTCGAAATAAGTAACATATGGAACATCCGCAAACCACCAGAACGGTAGGATATCATTCTACAGCTGTATCCTTACCGTTGTAATCGGCTTTTGAAGCCGTCTTTCGCGTCACAGACTGGTCTCGTTTATGCGAAAACATCGCTTCTTCTTGTTCGTCTGCTGCTGGCTGCAGACAACAGGCTTACCTTAATACCTGACGCACTCTGTTCGTATCATCATAATGCAAGGACTTAGACTACATAATATGAAACCTTTTTATATGATATACAATTTTTCGGCATGAAAATTTTAAAAGATATGTTGGTGAAGGAAAATATTTTTTTTAATATTAGTTATGGTATTTCTACACCGATAAGAAAGGTCTAAATTTGAGACTTATAAGTGCATGCTGGGTAAAATATCAGTAGTTCATTATAACTCATGGTGACAATAAGAAAGGGGAGAGACAAAAATTGACCCTGTAATATTTTGAATGGACACTTATTGGTGTCTTATATTGATGTTTTGTACGAAACATATGAAAATTGTTGGAATCAACGGCAAATCTTTAAGATATCGATGGTGGCGGGAAAACACCCTTCCCATCGTGCACCGAGCGATATTGGTCACGTGATATAATTAGGTCACTAATATTATGCTAAAATGGCGGATGACCTCCGGTTTGTATTTGGGATTTCCTAGAAAACTCTTTATATCACAGATACGTATGTCATATCCGCACAGAAGGAGCAAGGGACTGTGAAGAATACACCCATGATCCGATCTGTAAGTCTTTGTCCATGAATTTTGTGCCTCATTGTCTTCAGTTTGTGTCAAATTTCCTGGGCGGACCAGTTTTTTATTTGTTGGTAGTCGTACGATGTGATTGTGATGCCAGCTGATCAGTGAAATTAATGTCAGCTGCGTCCAGCGTCTGGCGATGAGACCTTCACTTTCACCTTTCTTTTCCAGTGGGCTAAAGCCCAAAGCCTAGAAGTCCTGCGTTTCACCAACGAGGTTTGACCAAATATCAAATTTCTTCTGTTTTAGACGTTCCACAAAATTATGTACAAATGTGTGTATGAATATAATTTCGCCAAACTTTCTTTCGTGTGTTTTGTTAGTGGGGAAGTGGTGTCAAACAAGTCATTCTAAAGGTAACTATGATGACATGACTCTTGCCATCGGTTTGTTTACTGGTGAAATATTTACTTCTTCTGGGTTTTTGAAAGTGGGAGATATCACTGCTACATTACAGTTACATTATGTTGGCATTATGTTACTTCTAGAATATTACATGATATCATGCAACCGTGAACATGAGTAGCTTGGAGAGTCTGAGTCATTTGAACTACAGGCACAGCCTTTGCTTCAATCTTGGCATCCGACTTACTTATATAGGTGGTAAATTTTGACATTTGTTTGAAATATAAACTAGATAGAACAAAATGGAAATTGTCAGAAACTGCATATTTATATTGTTTTTTTCTCCAATAATAGAAAATACGTAACCCTACAATTATATGGGTTTATAGCAAAATATCTTTTCCATTCGGTCAAACTAAATGATATATATAAAGAATTGAAAATGACTGTCTGAAATTTCCTGGTTAGTATAGGTACATCGAATTAACACGTTGGTATAATGGAATTTTTTTATGTTACTTGTAAGAGAAAAAGAAACTGCTTGGAAAATGACTGGTACCCTATTACAAAATATCAGTTGTACAGAATGAAAAAGGTGCATTGGTCAGTGCTTGGGTTCCTGGGGAATGTGCAGGAGAAATTTAATACAGCTTACTAGTATATTACATGAACAAAAGTGGAAAACAAACAATCAACTTAACCTATGTTCAATAATTTCCCTCGCCGAAATAGATGGTCATTTGGGCAATTTTTTTTTTTTTTTTGTAAAGGAAACATGTGCATGATATGGTATCCAATATAGCTACTAGCTAGGTAGTGGGCACTGTTGACAAATGTTTTTTTCCTCGTTGATTCTAAAATGTTCAGTTGTATTCATGGCACTACTGCCAGCTGTGAGTCATGACAGATTTCTGTATTGATAACCATGGAATAGGTCAAGATAGATTGTTTCAGTTGTGTTAATTTTTTGTAATGCACCTAACCCTTCAGAGTCATTCAGTGATTGAATTTCCATCTTTTCCCATAGGAACTCAACATTGACACAATGCAGAAGTGATGACATCATTGGGCATTTGTGGACATTTGAAGAAGCAGGGCCTTCTGGACGGCAAATCTGTCATATGACCTAATGATAAAAACTGTGGAACAAATGGGCCTTAAATGGAACATTGTGCCTTCCAATATCTGATGCATTACTAGGAAACAATGCTAGACTCCAGCTGTTGACCTGTGACAAACTAGACACACTCAACCCAACTGCCATCAGTGTTATTTGAGTCTGATCAAAAACGTCTATCACAAGTGGTATATGACGAACAATCAATAGTGCACACAGACACTAACATGGGATCTGTGTGGAAGAGACTCCAACGCGTCAACAAGAAAGCGGCCAAATTCCAGTTCATTGCCTCATATCAGGAACTGACGGTGGAATGTACTAAGAAATGGTAGGTGGTGCTGGTTATTTTTAGAGATGAAGGTCAGAAGTGCAGGTCAGACTATGATTGGTTCATATGTCGTTTTGTGTTTTAGAATAAGGCCAGAGACTGGGCATTCTATTATAACCCAGTCCCTGAAAAGATTCTTAACATGTCACAAGGATGTATCAATATTGAATATCGTGTACATATTGTCATGTCATGTCATGTCCTTGTGTCTTGTACTAATGTTAGCTGTTTGGATATAGCTACAGCTACATCACAAGAATAACATGTCAAATCAGCCAAGAATTGTATGTTTCAGGCTTCACAAATGTATGTCATGACAGGTAATGGTTGTTATAATGGTAATTCTACCACCCATTTAAGTACAAATCTACCCCAGTGTTACAGCTGTTTCTTGTTTCTCATGCCTCTCCTGTTCAACATCTACTAAATCCCTTGTTAGAAACTGAAACGGGAACCCAAGAAAGGTTGGTCAAATCCATTTCTCCCAATCAGTTCATTTCAGTCAAGGCCAGAAAAGAAGCCCTACCCTTGACCTGACTGTCAAGTTCAATGGTAGATGGAATCAGTTCCCACACTGCAGTGATTTTAGGACCATTTTCACCCACGGCAATTGGATTACATCTGGACCCAGTCAGAAAATCAATAATGATTTAATAACCGTTGGAAAGGACAGGAAGGAAAATTTGTACAAAACAAATTCGCAGGGATCATTGTGTTGGTTGCTCCCTACCTCCAACTAAAAGAATCAATAAAATTTTTCTGTTACAGCAAAATATCTGGAAATTTCTGAATACTAGAAAATGGTGCAGTATACTTCCTCAAGGGAACTGGAAGTCAACAGCTGTGATATCATGTGATCTTTGTGAAACTGTTTCACATGATATCAAAACTCTCCATTGTCCGGAAACTGATAAACATGTGTGAGCTGACTCAACTACAGGATATCAATTTTGCAGCTACATGCATGGCCAGCAAAATGTCAACTTCCTCATAGACTGCAAAGTTAACAAAAAAAGTATTCAAGAGGTATTCAAGACGTTTAGGATTTCCAGCACTAAGAAAAATAATTGTGTGTCAGTTGAGATGTTGGCATTGATGAGAGTGAAGGGTTGAGTATTTAAGAGGCATGATAGGCATGTGTCCAGGTCATGACCTGACGGATTTTACTTTTGGCTTCCCTCTATGGCTGGAATCTATTTGGCATGTTTCAATACATAGTTGTACATGTGTTTTCAAGTGCAAGAGGGTTAAACCTTACCCTGTGCTGTCTAAATCTATAACAAATACAAATGCAGTTCCAAAACTGAAAGGCTATCTCAGCAAGGATGGGAAGATAGGGATCATAAACTTTGATAAAGTCACGAATGACTTCAAATGATACACATATTTTCACGACTGGTACTGTCATGGCTTGCAGTTGTGTGACATAGACAATTAAGTTTGAAAACAAGCAAATTGATCTGTTAAACTTTGACCCTACGGTTGTGTAAGTGATGTGAGCATACAAAAAAGTTCTGTATGTTTGCATGCATGTTTACTGGTTGTGTTGCCCCCTTTTTTCTACAAAGGCAACCCAACAAGCTTTGTGTGCTGTGGACAAGAAGGATACGAAAGAATTACAGCAAGGTATGTTTGTTAATTAGTAGAATACACTATCATACAGCAATCTTGTTACTGTTATCTATGAAACATTTTTTTTTAAATAAGATGATGGTTATGCCATTGCTATATTACCCGGCGAGTAAGACAACCACTTTTGTACATGTGTATGGGCAGTATTTTGACCATCAAAAGGTTTTGACTTGCAAGGCATAATCCAATAGTAACACCATTAACAGAAAGGAAGTTGAATGTAATGTATTGAATTGTATTCTGAGGAAGATGTAATAAGAACAAGTTGTCAGCATCAACCAACCACTTGTAGTCTCGACCGCTGCTATTCCATGTCACACATGTCACAGTGTTTAATTGTTTCACCAGCTGCACACATGGCAGCCAGGCATCAAGAACCCCTACAGGGGGGCAGTGGTGTGGCCTGTTCCAGAGAACGTGGAGATCACAGTCACACTCTTTCAGGTGGGAGATACAGCCTTGACTTTAATACTTGACAGCAATTTGGCCCGTCAAATAAAAACATTTATGTTACAGCCCTGATATAACTTTATAAGTTACTTGTTTTAATGCATACTACTGAGGTAATTCTGATTTTGTAAACTTGAAATCCTTTTTCTGTTCATTGCTACAACTTTTGTATTTTTCCTTGCAGGATCCCAATAACCCAGAGTATGATGACAAGGAATGGACATTTGTAATTGAGGATGTGAGTATGACTCATCAGAAAGGTTTCATTTGTAGCTTCATAATTTATAGAACATGCATAAGCAAGTAAGCATACTACCTAAACTAGAAAGGCCGACATTTGCTTTGGAGCAAATACAGCAATGGCTTCACCACATTTTACGACATGGCAGGGAAAGAATGAGAAACACAAGGGAAAACAATGCTTTACATTGATATAACTATAGTATGAAGTAACATACAACTAAGACTACAACAGTTGGATAGCTATTCCCTACATTATTGGTTAGGATTTTTAATTGCATAATGCAAACTGTTGATTTTCAAGAAAAAAGAAGCGTTCATGCCCCGCATTCCAATGCTGGAGCAGGAAAGCTTAAAATACCTAGTACCAAAACACTTGAATACAGACCTACTGTCAGTATGGAATGGCTCTGTGCAGGTATTAATTAAGTTAAGCCTGTTAAATTCCAACAGCCAATCAGCAAGGAGAATAGAGGAAAGCTGCATGCCTATTGGTTGATGCCCTGCATTCCATTGTGATGACTCATGCCCAAATGTGGTAACACTGCACACTAACTCAGTAATACATTTGCTATAACACAGCCAAAAAAACTCAAAATAAAACCATTCTAAAAGCCTGTATCACAAAAATTAAAAAACGCCTGGGGGTATTTGCCTACTGTACCTCCATACCAAATTTCAGGACCTTAGGCCCCAAAATGAAGAAGCTGAATCCATTTAAAGAAATGGCAGGAGGAGAAGAAGAAGGAGGAGAATCATGAGAAAAAGCAATATGGTTTCACCACTTTGTGGTGAACCCATAAATATGAACTCTTTTTAATGGAGGGAGCAAGAAGTTTACTGCTAGCAAAGTAACTTGCATTGTAATGCAGAGCTGTGCTTACTTATCTCTACTGAATTCAACATGGTCATCAAATAACATCAGATTCTGCATTGATTAATGTTTAAAGGAGTCCAGGACAGGGAAGCGGAGAAAGTTAGCCACAGCCAACATCAACATGAGGGAGTATGCCAGTGCAATCCCAACTCAACAGGAGCTCAAGCTCAAGCTCCGGCCACTCACCAAGAAAGTGGTGTCTGCTACCTTACATTTCACCTTGTCATGTGTATTCCTTAGAGAGGGAAAGGCCACGTAAGTATTTTGTGTCTCAATGACACAGATTTTAACTCTCATTTTGTACTAAGTTTGTCTAGTTAGAACTGTG